CCCGTGGGTTGTTTTAATAATATCGAATTTAAAATTACAATTACCCCCCCCCCCCCCCCCCTAAACCCACTCATCAACATCCCTCCTCATCAGAACCTCACCCCCCTCCAACCCCCTCCCGGCCATCGGCACCCTCAACACCCCCCTCTCCACCAGATCCCGCGCCAGCCGCACGATCAACCCGTCGCACCCCCTCGCCGCCATGACGTCCACCGTGACGGGCAGCATCTCGGTGTGATTCGTCACGGAGCTCACAGAGCCGACCTCGCCCAGCGGAAACACGTGGTCCGGCGCCCCGCTGAACACCGAGATGCGCCCGTTCGAGAACCCCATCGGCGGCGTCCCCGGCTCGCTCGGGTACTGGTTCCGCGGGTTCGCGACCCCCGCGCTGCCGACGTAGAGGAGCAGGCCCGAGGAGCACGTCGTCGAGGGGTCCGGGGAGGGGGCGAGGACCGCCGTGTTGAACCAGTCCATGAAGACCGTCTTGTTGGCCTTGGCCTCGGCGAGGGATGTGGAGGGCTGGGCGTCGCCCCAGGCCCAGCGGGCTAGCGGGACGGGGTTGACGAAGGGGAGGCGGCCGTCGTGGGCGGCTGGGTGGTTGTTAGTATAGGTTGTTGGTCACGAGGAGAGAAAGGACTTACCGGCGTAATCCGCGTAGAACGGGTCGCGGACGAGAGCCGTCTGCTCCTTGGTGATGAGCGTGGCGTACGTCGTACCCAGAAACTCGTCGAGCGTCAAGTTCCTCGCCGCCTCCGGCCCCGTCGCGGCCCAGGCCTCATCCAGATCGAAATCCGTCGCCTCCGTCCCGAGAAACGCGACCAGCTCCGCCACGAAGGTGTTCAAAATCTTCGCCACGGGACTGTCCACCCCCGCGGGGAACCCCAGCGTGTACACCGTCTTGGGATACCTCACCTCCGCGCCGACCAGCGAGGTGTAGTTGTCCCCGTACATGGCCCCGCTCGCCGCGTCCCAGATCGCGGGGTCCCGCGTCAGGAAGCCCGGCGTGTCGAGCGTGGGCGACAGCGGCATGACCCCGTCGAGGCCGACGAGGTCGTGCGAGGGCCGGTTGCCGAAGAGGCCCTGCACATTCGACGGCCCGCGGATGGAGCCGCCGGTGTCGCTGCCGAGGGCGAGGTCGAGCCAGGGGTAGCTCGCGACGGCGGCGCCGGCGCCGGAGGAGCTGCTGGAGGGGTCGTTGTAGCCGTCGCCGCGGGGGTTGAAGGGGGCGTGGTAGTCGACCCAGTCGGCGGTGGCGGCCTCGCCGTTGGCGAACTGGGAGGGTTTCTGGAAGCCGACGACGACGGCGCCGGCGTCGAGGAGGTTCCGCACGGCGGGGCCGGTGGCGGCCGCGGGCGGGTAGAGGGCGTACCAGGCGCGGTTGCCGTTGGAGCCCCGGACGCCGGCGAGGGAGTAGATGTCCTTGACGCCGACGCGGACGCCGGCGAGGGGCTTCTCCGGGGTGGGGGTGAAGTAGAGGCGGGAGGGGACGCCGATGGTGAGGGAGGCGGAGGCGGGGATCTGGGCGGAGAGGGTCTGGAAGGTGTGCTCGGGCGTCTGGAGGAGGGACTCGGAGAAGGCGCCGGCGAAGTCCGGGTAGAGGCGGAAGGCCTGGTGGACGTCGCCGGTGGTGGTGTCGAGGAAGTAGGGGCCCGACGGGAGGGACGAGGATCCGGAGAGGGGGACGACGACGGAGGTGGTCTTGTTGGCGGCGTCGTAGGTCTCGCCAAAGGCCGGGGACGGGGCGCCGGCGAGGAAGACGGTGCTCAGGAAGGCGGGCTGCCAGACGTCGTCGCGGGCGGTCCAGTTGGCGAAGAGGGCCGGGAGGTCGGTCTTGGCGAGGGTCTCGGAGACGACGGTGACGGGGGTGAAGCCGAAGGCGCGGGGCAGGGCCTTGATGTTGAGGGTGCCGTTGTAGGCCTTGCCCTGGGAGAAGGGGGAGACGAAGTAGTAGACGTCGTCGAGCTTGAGGGAGGCGCCGGTGCTGACGAGCTGGCCTGCGGCGGAGGAGGCCGCGAGGCTCAGGAGGGCGAGGGCCTTCATCGTGAGGGTTGTGGCGGGATGGCGGCGGCTGGGACACTCGAGCCGTCCATGGTTGCGACTCGTGGCTGGGAGAGGCGACCTTTATAGCTGAATTGGAGGCGAACCTCCAACAAGGTGGTTCAATTGGTCATCGTGAGAAGTCGACGGGGGGCTGCTTGATTACTCGGGATCAGGACTGCTCCCCATAAGCAATATGCAATATCTCGGTTGCACAGCCTTATCTGGCGGCCGCCGAGGGCTTATCGTGAGGGACTCCACGGACGGCCTGGCTAGCTCGGGCTGGATGGTAGGTTATCTGTGGTGAGAAGCGGGGGAGATGACGGGGACCCATCGGAGACGTGAAGAATGATCGGGACTTTTTGTGGTGGATGTGGTGTTGAAGATTGCGGCCGATGTCGGGAATTGGGGGTCGTTTTCCGAGGCCGTCAAGTTCGTCGCGAAGGATTTTGCCGACAGGCCTGGTGGTGAGCTGATGAGTTTGGTGATAATCAATGTAAGAAAATGAGGACGTTCCAGAGGATGATGTCGTTACCATATGTTTACGTGAAAGAAACATACGGTAGGATCACCATCACGGCTTGTGAATTGTAACGGGCATCGCCGTCCCAAGGCAACGGTACGGTTCCCCCACGCGGATGACGGACCGGTCAGCTTCGGATCCTCCTCATCCTCCTCCGAGACTAACGGGCGGCCCCTCCTCAATTGAAAACACCTCCCTAATACATAGCTGTCATCTCTGATCTTGTAATTTCGTTTACAGAAATGCTGACGCCCGATTTCAGGACGGGATTGGAGTACTTTGGAGGAGACAACTCCCTCTCTATCTTGGCTGCATCCTTCATCGGGTCCCGAGTGGATAACGTCCGGTGCCGGGACGACGGTAGAGCGGAGGCCTTTACCGATCATCCAAGAGCTGCAGAGATAACGGTCGGTCTAGCGTGGCCCGTGAAGAACCGCGATGAAGATAAGCATACGAGCGAAGGAGGCCGTCTCGTTACGTCACTAATCCTGGCTTGTCAACAAACACCGCGACATTGAATCATGGTGCTGACCAAAGCTATTCTCCTTGGCGTGATAAGTCGGACAGGGATGATCCCCATGGAGAAGGACTCCAACATTGGCACACCGAGTCCAGAAATTTAGAGAGGCTGGTGAGATCAAAATCTGCGTCGAGAATTTCAAAGCCCAGCTGCGATACTGTAAAGTCGTCTCTCATTATCCGAACAATCGTCACTAGCAGACAACTCTATAGCAGCCGTCTGAAAAAGTAATGCTGACAGACTGGAGGCATCCTGGGAAGGACCCAGCCGGCCGTCAATGCGGTAGAAATCATTGCCATGTTTTTGATCCAGCTCTCCTGGAATGTGCCGTCCTCGCTCTGCTATGCAATCAAATTCCACGCCCCAAATCGAAATGCCCCTCCGGCACGTCATTCATCTTCCGCCATGCCATATAAAGCAGTTTGCCTGCTCGCTCCGCCTCACATGACCATCCCCGTAGCCATACACACATCATCAACAAGACGGACCGAACACACCGACCCGAGTCGACGCCGCAGCCACCGCCAGCAGCCTAGTCAACTCCAGCCCAGCGTCTCGAGCGTGTTCCTCGCGTCCGAGGCGCTCATGCCGCTGACGCCCAGCGAGCGTACCTGGGTGCCCTTACGCAGCCTCTGCACGCCGACGGCGACCTTCCAGGCCTCCTCCTCGTCGAGCACGAACATGTAGCGCTTGCCCTCCTGGTCGCGGATCGTCGCGCGCAGAACGTGGAGGCTCTTGGCCCTCCACTCCCCAGTCTGTCCGGCCGAAGATGGGAAGTTAGTATCTTTGAACTTTGTGTCGCACAAGCCAAGACGACAGCAACTCTTGCAGGCACGCAGCATTTCGGTCAGGTAGGCATCAGCCTCGTCGCCCGTGAGCATCTTGGTGGCGCCCCTGTCCGCCGTGCGGGCGCGCTGATTCGCCATCTTTTGAAACAGGCCAGAGGGGTGGTTCGCGGAATTCGACGGGGCAGAAGCAGCAGCAGCGGAATTCAAGCAGTGCGGGGGGCACCATACCTCGACCAGCTTTAGCGTCCAGGCCTTGACGTCCCACTCGCGTTGCGGGACGCCGCGGACGTCGTCGTCGATGAAGAGGCCCTCGGTCGTTATCCGCAGGATCAGTCCATCCGTCACCGTGCCGAACCCCGACACGAGCTGGCTCGCGGGGGTCTTGGCGAACTGGTTCATGAACAGGTAGACGGCCCGGATGACGATCTTGTCGGGGTCCTTCGTCGTGTAAGGGCCGCGCATGCTAGGCGGTGGCGTCGTTCGCGTCGTGGTGGCCGACGGGGCCCACGACGATTCGGAGCCGACGGACGACGCCGGCTTGTGCTTCGGTTTGTCGTACGGTCGGTACGAGTACTGGTCTTCGTCGACTGTTCGCGCTGACGGCCTCGGTGGCGGTCTCGTGGTGTTGGAGGAGGCTGTGGAGGGTGCCGGTCGCGGCGGCACGGAGCTCGTCGACGGGGGAGGCCTGGGAGAGCTGTTTGAAGGGGGAGGTCTTGGAGGAGCAGAGCTGTGTGAGGGAGGAGGTCTGGGGGGAGCGGAGGACGCGGAGGACGCGGACGGGGGAGGTCTCGGTGGCGTCGAAGCCGCCGTGGGAGGGGCAGGAGGTCGGCCGTTGGGCCACATACTCGTCTTCTCGCCGACCGACGAGAAGGCGTAACTACTTCCCTTGCGAGTGTTCCTCTCGGCCTCTTCTGCTTCCTTGGCCTTGCGTTCTGCTTCCTCCCTGGCCTTGCGGTCTGCCTCTTCTTTGGCCTTGCGTTCCGCCTCCTCCTTGGCTTTGCGCGCTGCTTCCGCCTCTTCACTTGCTTTACGGGCTGCCTCCTCCTCTGCGGCCCTCTTCTTCTCGGCCTCCTCGCGGTCCTTTTTGGCCTTCTCGGCCTCCTCACGCTCCCTCTTGGCTTTCCGAAAGGCTTCCAGCTGGGCCTCAACACGAGCTTTTCGGGCGGCGGCCTCAGCGGCTTCCTTTTTGCGCGCCTCCTCGCGCTCCTTAGCCTGGCGTTCCTTGTTGACCATGTCCTCGCGCTCCTTGGCTTCCTTCAGCGCGCGCTCTCTCGCCTCCTTGGCTTCCTGCTCAGCCTTTTCCTTCTCGCGCTGGAGCTTCTCTCGTTCCTGGCGTTCCTTCTCGAGCTTCTGTTTGAGTTCTTCCTTTTCGCGAATGTCCTGCTCGATCCTCTCTCTTCTCTCGCGTTCCTCTCTGGCTCGGCGCTCGCGCTCACGAGCCTCCCTCTCGCGGAATTCCTTCAGCTTGCGGGCTACCTCGGCCTTGCGCCTCTCCTCCTCTTCCTTGGCCTTGCGCTCCTCTTCGCGCTTTCTCGTCTCCTCGCGGGCCTTCTCCCAGTGTGACTTTTGAGGAGGCTTTGGTGGATCCGGTTTTGGCTCAGGCTTTGGTTCGGGTTTAGGCTCCGGTTTCGGTTCAGGCTTCGGCTCAGGCTTGGGCTCAGGTTTTGGCGCGGCCTTGGGCTTCGGAGGAGGGTCAGGCCGCCGAGGCTCGGGCTCGGGCTCGGGAGAAGGGGACGGTTCCGGTTCGGGTTGACGGGGTGGCGGGGGAGGGGCCTGTTGTGGTCGTTCTTGCCAGGAAGACCTAGGCCCCCCGTTTCCCGGCCCGTAGTTGGGAGGAGGACCGCCGGAAGGATGGCCGTTTTGGTTGCCGTGAGGTGGAGGGGGCGGGGGCGCACCGGCTCCGGGGAAGCCGCCGGCGAAGTTGCCGCTGCCCGCGTAGGTGCCGTATCCGCCAGGGCCAGGACGGTAGCCGCCGTTGCCCGGGCCGTTGCCTCCATTCGAAGAGGGCTGGGCCTGCGACTTACCCCATGCCCAGGCTCCCACGCCGACGGCGATGACCAAGAGGGACATTCCCATATTTCCCATGCCCTGGTACGTCCCCCACCATTGGCGGAAGGCGGGCGCCATGCTCTGGAACATGACGACCATGACGAGGGCGCAGGCGAAGCCGGCCGCGAAGCTGGGGCCATTAGGGGCGAGAGAGGGCAGGTAGATGAAGCCGCCGCCCTTATCGCGCTGGGGAATGACGAAGATGTCGTAATTGCCGGGACCCAGGCCACTGCCGGGCGGAGGGGTGCCAGCAGTGGTCTTGGGAGACTCGCCATGAGGCGGTGGAGGCGGAGGAGGTCCGCTCATGTCGGGTGGACCTCAGCACCTCGGCACCGGGAGGTGAGGGTGGTGGGTATTCTCGGTGTTTGGATTTGAGCCACAGAGCTTGGTGCTCGTGGTGGGAAGAAAAGAGCAAATTTCTAGTGGTATCTTTGTGGTGCCATTGATGATCGTAAAATCGTGAAGCGTCTGCACAGAAGCCATGAGCAAGGATCCCAGTAAAAAAAATATGTTGGTATGTGGTGATGGTGACAAAAGTTGGGTGAAGGGCAGTGTCGTGGACACAATGAGGTCGACTCACAAGCAGCAATAAAGCAACAACAAACGCCAGAGCCCCAGAAAGAAGGCGAGTGTCAAAGCAACAGAGCGGGTATCGGGTATCGTGGCCTATGCCGATTGACAGCGTCTATGCCGTGGTGGTGTTGCTATAGCTTCTGCTCTGTCCTCGCGCCTTTTTTTTTGGCGGTGGTAGGCGGTGGATGGAGTCCGATCGCGGGGCAGTGAGACAGGCGTGTTGTTGTTGGAATTGACCTGCTCGGTTAGTAAGTCAGGTGAGGTCGTCGAACGGATCGGGATGGTATCACGAAGCCGTTTTGGGTGGCATTCGTGGGCGGTTTTTGGGAGGAGTTGAGGGAAAATGCGACGAGAAGAGACAAGCGGGAAGAGGGAGGAATTCTTTTGTGTTTACTTTGGAATTTCTCATGGGCACTCTGAGGTGGTGGTGGTGTGGCTTTCGGGGGAGTGACTCGGCGCTAGCGGGTGGTTGCGCGGTCTCAGTCCACTAAAGGAACCCAAGGCCAGTGGTTCTCAGCGGCTGAGGGTCCACTTTAAGGTCACTGACCTCCCCGTCAACCGCACCAGCCGCCTAAGCGAAGGAATAGTGACATTTTTGATAGATGGCAGCCGTTGCTTCTTTTCATGCCCGTTTCCCTCACCTCTCGACAGAGTTTGGTTCTTTTTATCCGTTGCATCTGCATGTCGTCTGGGGTACAGACTTTGGAGCAGCATCATCATCATCATCACCAACAAAACACTATGCGAGGCCGTTGAGCGTCGTACCGATACGCCAGAAAAGCATCATCCCAGCCCCGGCCTCGTGGCTCAGAGGATGTTCCCTGCGCCGGCAAGACCCTGAAAAAGCCAAACGTACGGATGACCGAGCTCCAACCACCAGCTCCCGACTCATGGCAGACGGCGCGATGGCCTCTCTTTACTCCCGTCATCCCGGATACGGTTCATCCCAATCCCACGATCCAGCTGTTTGGCCTCCATCACGAACGTACGGATACAGAGCACACCGCCTCCGTCCAACAAGAAGAGGCCACAAAGCATCATCGAGCCCTCGGGCCACTCACCACCAGCAGATCGCCAAAACAAACGACCCGTTGCCATGTCCACCGCCGAGAAGGCCCCTCGTCGGTCGTCCAGCAAACTCCGCAACTCAGGACCCTCCCCCTCCCGCTCTTTTCACCAGACCGACGGCCAATCCCAAGAAATTGCCCAATCTCCCGCCTATGACAGGCCCTTGGCCGAGTCGCCTGCGGTCCTAAGCGGCCCATATCGCTGGGGGAAGATCCACCCGCGGTAGCGAATCGCGGAGTGTGAGGCTATTCTCCCCGGGAGGCGTCGGAGCCAGCGAAGCAAATCCTCTGCTTGGGGGAACGAACTGCCAGATCGCGGTGCAGAGAGGGCGTGCCAGCTGGCCAGGATTCAGCACATCCGCCGGTCCCGTCGCCCAGAGCCGCCCATACCAATTTCCTGGGACATCACATCACATCCCCTACCTTCTGACGCCCGACATCGAAACAAATCAAATACGACGGGTGATCGGGTGAGGATGGCGACTGCGACCGCAACGTTCACATGGGGGGCCAGCTCGGTACCGTACCGTCCAAACGTCGGGCGCCAATTGTGACCACCATCACCTCAACTCCCAACCGTTGCTGCTGGCCGTTGCGTTGCGGTGTGGTGGAGCTGTTCTGCTCTTTTTTGACATCCGTCCCCAAACGGTCTCGTTGCCCGGCAACCGCAGCAACTCCCTTGCACCGAAGGCGCCCGGTGACGTATCAGATGTCACCGTGTGGGGACATCTGCCTGCCGGTGTCTTCGAAGTTCCGCGAGTCGAGCAAGCAGTTTGGACTGAGGACGGCTGTTTAGACGTCATCACCGTCCCGGCCGGAGGAACTGTGATCCATCTCCCAGCGACCCTTTAGGCCTGTTACGATGTCGAGAACGTCGTCGACAGACATGACATTACCTCGGTTTTCCTCTCCATCAGGAGGACCGAAAGCGTGATGCGACAAGCAACGGCAGCCGCATGCAACCTCGTTAACGACAGGGATCGGCCCATAAGCCAGACTGCATATGCATGAAGGGGACGGTCCGGCGCGACCACACCTCGCGTCGAGTGTCAACAACTCCCGTCTCACGTCCTCTTGCCCGCCGTCCTTTCAAGTACTAGTTTCGGCTGCGATCCGATGTTGGCAGGCTGCTTGGCTGTTAGACGGCCAGAGAGGGATTACTTGAACGGCCGTGTCTGGCTCGCGTCTGGCCGCGTGTAACATCTGCGATTTACAGACTGGTTGAGATGGCTGATATGAGGCGGTCCCGGCTTCAACTGAAGTTGTCGCGTTGAGTTGGCTGTGATGTCGTCCGTGAAGGCTCTCTACGTCTTCTGCTCGTGATTATACGCGAACAAAACACATGACAACAGGCTGACTTATTGGACTAACATGCCACTTGATTGCGTGAGAGACAGTCGTGACATCTTATCCAATTCGCGATGCCCTCCTGCCGTACCTGATTGCGTACCAGATTGGCGAGGCACGCGTGAGCCTAGGCCGTCACCGAAACGACGCAAGACATCAACTCTTCAACTCCGAACCAAACTGGTATTCCTGTCCATTCTGTCCTGATTATGTACCGTCCGTCCCATCTCGTAGCCAGCCAAGGCTCAATAGCAATCTGTTCCTCCCAAGTCATCCCGCTATCCTCAATGTTTGGAAAAGCAACATAAAACGACGGCGACACTGAAACGTCGTCCATCCTGCTGAAAAAATGCATGAAGTGACAAAAAAGGCATCATGTCCTCCCACGCACCAAAAGAAGAGAACCCAACTCCATACACCACGCAAAAGCATCCAGAACCCGTCCCCCGATCCACACGACCCTCGCGACGACCTCCATCGCCGCCAGCACACCCCTCGCCAGCACCTCCCCGACGACGACAAGTCAGAACTTGCCGATGCGCCGGTTCGCCACCTTGATCTTCCCGCCGACGCGGTCCGCGTCCTCGTTCACCCGCTCCAGCATCTTGGTCTGCGACTCGACCTCGTCGTTGATCTGCAAGCCCATCTCCTTCTGCCGCCGCACGATCGCCGCCAGCGTGTTCACCTGCTCGTCCTGCTCGCTCATCATCTGCCGCTGCAGCAGCACCACCCCGTCGTTGTCCAGCTCCCGCGTCCGCTGCGTCTCCGGCAGCGGCGCCCCCAACACCCGTCCGCCCGTCCTCGCCCCTCCACTGCTACTACTGCCCGCACCACCCCCCAGCAGCGCCGCCTTGTCCCCCGACGACGCGAACCCCTCCCGCGCCGCCCGTCCGTTCTGCGCCATGCTGTTGCTCAGCCTCTCGAGCCCCTCCCTATCGACCCGCGCCGAGCCGAGCAGGTCCCGCCTGCGCCTCAGCTCGCCGTCGCCCAGCGCGCCGCCCTCCTGCATCGTGCGCAGGCCCGCCGTCAGGTTCCCGATCAGCGTGCCGGCCTTGACCAGCGCCCTCTTGGCGGCGGCCCCGGCCTCGGCGGCCGCGGTGCTGTTGTTGTTCTCGGCGGCCGCGTCCCGCCGCGAGAGCGCGAGCCGCGCGTCGTGCAGGTTCGCCTTCATCTCGCGGTGCAGGTCGAGCCAGGTCGTGGGGTCGGCGGCGCCCGCCCTTCCGCTCGTGACGAGCCCGTGGGCGCTGGCGGCCGAGTTGCCGGTGCTGCCGCCGCCGCCGGTGGAGGGCAGGTTGAGGAAGGCGCGCCAGGCGGTGGTGTCGCGCCAGCGGCGGTCGGGGGACTCGGCGATGGCGCGGAGGTAGGCCTCGAGGCCCTGGCGGCGCTGCTCGGTGAGGTCCGGGGAGGAGACGGTGGACTTGAACCAGGACTTGCCGGGGAGGGGCTTCGGGGGCGGGTCGCCGACGAGGGAGGTCAGGGACTGGTGGAGGGCGGCGAAGTCGGAGTAGCGCTTCTGGACGACGAAGGAGCGGAGGGGCAGGCGGAGGGTGATGTTGTAGAGGGTGTAGGGCTTGGACTCGCCGGTCGAGAGGATCGTCGAGGGGATGGAGATTTCGGCTGGCGGAGCCATTGTCGGCGGCGGTCGCTGTGTGCGTGTGCGTGGTGCGTGTTGTGTATGTGAATGTATGACGTGGAGGAGGGAAAACCGAAAAAGCTTCTTTGCGGACGACGAGGGATGGGATGTTTTGGTTCGGGGTTTGGACGAGCCTCGGATGAGCTGCCCCTTCAATCGTTCGTCGGTGAGGACGGGAGAGTGTAAGTGGGATGGTCGCGGGTGTGATTTCGCTGCTCGTTTGGCGTCGCAATCGGATCGGGAGGGACAGAGCCGTTTTCGATGATTGGTCAAAGTATAAAAATCGTCAGAATAGCCTCGATGTATTCTTGGTAGGTGAATAATTGGTGTTGTTGTGGAATGATGAAATCGGTTGCGTAAGGTCGAGAGAGGCAGCAATGGAAAGGTCCAACCTAACGTTCCCGGTGTGCTCCAGTCGGTTCCACGGTGTGCTGCAGCAGTTCGCACCTCGAGCGCAGCAGGCGGTCTGGCCCTTAAAGCGACGAGGCCAGCCCCCCCGGCCCTGCTGAGGACAGCTCTGACAGGCACAGGAACTGTGTGCCTGGAGGTCGTGTGCGCGCTGGTTTGACGCCTGTGGCGCATGCGTGGAACTAAATTGGGCCTGCGGCAGGAATGACCGCATTTCTGGGACACCTCATCAGGGAAGACGGCATGACGAAGGCGATGGTACGTTGGAGAGACACTCAGGATGAGGATCTGATTCAGTGTGAAGGCTGTCGTTCACCCCATTACCCCGTTTGAACAGCCAAGATCCATCCCTCACGGACATCTTCTAGAACCATTCATCCGATGCCCACAAACCACTAGCCCAGTATGTTCATGCACAAGCTTGACCTCCGACGACTAGGTTGAAACTTCAGCATCACGGCCGACCAACATAACCACCCGGCCGTCCGAAGCCGTCTCGGACGTGGTCCGGGACCGAACACTCCACAAAAATGACTCGGGATGCCCAGACCAAAAGATTTTGATTCTATCATGAGTCCTCATGTGGGACGAGACCGCAGCCACCTCAGACCGGCCGGCAGACCATACCTCCCAAACCGCCTCCGCCGTCCGAAGCTAGCTCGACCTCATCGCCAGTATATGATTATTACGTGCCTCAGGGTATTTGTACTAGCGCCAAACCCATGTGCTTTTGCTTCTGCCCCAACTCTCCCATCCAAGCAACATCAACCGCGTCCGTGCCGTCTTCGTCGTCACAGCTTCTCCCACGAACTGGACCCGCCGGAGCCAGAGCTGGCAGCACCGTCCGCCTAAAAGGTCTCCTGATCGTCGACGGCCTCGCCCTCGGCCGGGATCTCGAATCCCTCTTCCGTCGAGTAGAGGATCGTCTGGATCTGCTTCACCAGGCCGTCCTCCTGCTTCTCCAGCTCGGGGTCCTCCTCCACGGCCTGCTGCACGAGCAGCTCGATGTCGCGGAGCTTGCTGAAGTAGAAGTCGCGCTCGCGCTCCAGACCGACGACCGTCTCCTTCAGCGTAGCGTTCTCCTGCTGCAGGGCGGCGGAACCGGGGCCGGCGGCCTTAGCCACGCGGGGACCGCCCGAGGGGGTCGTGCCGCCTCGTCTGGCAGCACTGGTCGCCGGAGCAGCACGGACACCACCACCGCCGGCTGGGCCGGTGGGGGCGCCCTTTCGGCGGGCGACGGCGTCGTACTCGTGGTCAGGGAAGTTGAGGTCCCAGAATTTCTTCGTCCACTGCAGGAACTCGAGGTTGTCCTGCATCTTGCACTTCACGAGCGCTTCGACGGGGATGGGCTTGTCGATTTGATGTCTGGCGAAGGTGTCTGAGAAGAGACGTCGTCAGCCTTGGGCTCGCCGGGCATCAGCCGTGTGGGTGACTTACTCTGCAACACCTTGAAGTTCTGGATGTACGCATAGTCGCCAACGGCGTTGAACTTGACTCTAGACATGGGGACGTCGAGGAAGATGCTGTCAAAGACCTGGCAGAGCGCCGCACTACGGTCAAACACGGGTCAGAAACACCGTGACGAAAATCATCGGGTCCCACATATCGCCATATGGCGGGGGAGGGGTATCGGCCAGCACTCACCCCGTACCGCATTGCTCGACCTTTGTGATGTTGAGCGACAACAACTGGTTCAACCACTGGATGAGTTCCTGCCTGGAGTGCATTTCCTGTTAGCCGGGAGTGCCCGATTGTCGCGACGCGCCATGGCCGGTGGTGGTCGGATCGGATGTCCCACGACGCCGCAATGGAAGGCAATGGAAGGCACAAACCTGGATTCGCCCATCTTGACGGTAGACAACTGTGGAGTCGGGTGTTCGGTAGAGGAAAAAATGCGCGCTCGAAAATGGGAAATCGAAAGGACGCTCGAGAAGCAGAGACACGATGGCGTAGAGAAAGGAGACGCAGGTTTGGAGAAGAGCACCGAGGTTTGGAGGGTTTAGGACAAGTCGGGTAAGTGTCGAAGTGGTGGCAGAAATTAAATCTCGTTGCTTTGTCGCCCGGCGGCGTGTGAAGGCTGCCAAAATTGTTGGCAATGAGTGGTCGCCCAATCAACCGTGGTGGGGTCGATTACTCGGGACTTGCCCCTGCCCCTAAACACTGTCTGGCTCATGACTGGCTGAAGATTGTTGATGACAAACAAACATCACGTGTGCGACCCGAGAGTACGTAACTCCCTGACCGCCCCGTCCGATGGTCTCCACCCGAAGATCAGGCGACTGACCGCTCGGTGAAGGTGGGGACCTGCGCAGGCGGCAGAAAAAGTAGAGCTCCACCTCTGTTCAGAAAAATTTCTGGCGCAAGAGTTACAGCTTTTGGTGGTCGAAGGGCGCGTGTGTGTTAGACGATACCCCGCGGTACTGTCCATTTACTTTGTATTTTCCATTCACCACCCAACATGGCTCCCTCGCAGAAACGCAAGCCGGTCGACGACGATTTCGTCTTTACCATCTCCGACAACGACGAGGATGTTGTCGAAGAAGAGGAGGCCGTCGCCCCGCCCCCCAAGAAGAAGGTGAAGACCACCAAGAAGTCGAAGAAGGCCGCCAAGGAGGACTCGCCCGAGCAAGAAGAGCGCGAGGGAATCTGGGGAAAGAATGACGACGACGATGGCGCCATGGACTCGGATTTCGAGTTTGCCCAGGACGGAGCCGTGGAGTTTGGTGACGCCGACTTCGAGGGCTGGGGCTTCGACGGCGCAAAGAAGTCCATGAAGAACCAGGGCGCCGTCATAGGTGTTGACCTAGACGAGATCATTCGCAGACGGCGCGAGAAGAAGGACGGCAAAGATAAGCCCGAGACATCTAAGGGAGCCGATGCCGAAGACGAGGTCGAGAACGACATGGACATCGACCTCGACGACGATGACGACGAAGTGCTCGCCGACGACGCTTTCGGCATGGCCGTTGACCCCGAAGACGAAAACTCCGGCGACGAGGAAATGTCAGACGCGGGCGATGCCGAGGACGACGACGCCGCCGCATCGGACAACGACTCCGTTGCGACACCCGTGGACCACCCCGACGACGCTCGCGACTCATCAGACGACGAAGAGGAGGATGCAGAGGAACAAGCCAAGCGCGATGCCTTCTTCGCGCCCGAAGAGCCCGCGAAGCCCGGCAAGAAGGATGCCGCTACATCGTTCCAGGGCATGTCTCTGTCGCGCCCCCTTCTCAGAGGTCTCGCCGCGGTTGGCTTCTCGAAGCCCACGCCCATTCAGGCTAAGACCGTCCCCATTGCTCTCATGGGCAAGGACGTTGTCGGTGGTGCCGTCACCGGTTCCGGAAAGACTGCGGCGTTTGTCGTCCCCATCCTCGAGCGTCTCCTCTACAGACCCAAGAAGGTGCCCACGAGTCGTGTGGTCATCCTCACGCCTACCCGTGAATTGGCCATCCAGTGCCACGCTGTCGCTACGAAGCTCGCGGCCTACACCGACATCAAGTTCACTCTGGCCGTTGGTGGTCTCAGTCTGAAGGCGCAGGAGGTTGAGCTGAGGTTGCGGCCCGATGTCATTATTGCCACGCCGGGTCGTTTCATCGATCACATGCGGAACTCTGCCAGCTTCAACGTCGACACCGTGGAGATTCTCGTTCTCGACGAAGCCGATCGCATGCTGGAAGACGGTTTCGCCGACGAACTCAACGAGATTCTCACCACCCTCCCCAAGTCCAGACAGACCATGCTGTTCTCCGCAACGATGACATCGTCCGTCGACCGCCTGGTCCGCGTTGGCATGAACAAGCCCGCCAGGGTAATGGTGGACTCCCAGAAGAAGACGGTCGGTACCCTGGTGCAGGAGTTCGTCCGCCTTCGTCCGGGCCGCGAGGAGAAGCGTATGGGGTACTTGATCCACATCTGCAAGACCATGTACACCGAGAGGGTCATCATCTTCTTCCGTCAAAAGAAGGACGCACACAGGGCACGAATCATCTTTGGTCTGCTCGGCTTGTCCTGCGCCGAGCTTCACGGCAGCATGAACCAAGCTCAGGTAGGCACATGTTACCCCCACCCACGAATCATTGCTAACGACCACCCAGAGAATTGCCAGTGTCGAGAACTTCCGTGACGGCAAGGTCAACTACCTCTTGGCTACCGATCTTGCCTCTCGTGGTCTCGATATCAAGGGCGTCGACACAGTCATCAACTACGAGGCTCCTCAAAAACTGGAAATCTACGTGCACAGAGTCGGTCGTACTGCGCGTGCCGGCAGAACCGGTACCGCCATCACGCTGGCCGCCGAGCCGGACCGCAAGGTCGTCAAGGCCGCGGTCAAGGCCGGCAAGTCGCAGGGGGCCAAGATCCTCAGCCGCGTCATCGAGCCCGCGGAGGCGGACAAGTGGCAGGCCAAGGTCGACGAGATGGACGACGAGATCGAGGAGATCATGGTGGAGGAGAAGGAGGAGAAGCAGTTCGCACAGGCCGAGATGCAGGTCAGGAAAGGAGAGAACATCATCGAGCACGAGGCCGAGATCAAGGCCCGGCCCAAGAGGACGTGGTTCGAGACGCAGGACGACAAGAAGAAGGCCAAGGACGCGGGCCGCGCGGAGCTCAACGGCAAGAAGAAGCAGAAGCTCAGCAACAAGGACAAGAAGAAGCTCGACGCCAAGGAGTCGAGAAGCGAAGGGCACGTGTGGAAGAAGGGCAAGGCGGAGCGCGCCGGCCAGGGCGCCGTGCTGAACCTGAAGAAGAAGAAGGTCCCCAAGAACGCCAGGGTGAGGGCGAAGTTGGCCCGTGGTAAGAGGTAGTGAGCGGAGTGTTGGGAGGAGTACAAAATGTTTAGATCAAAATACCATGGGAAAATACCATTTAATTCTTGGCGCGTCTTTTTGTCCATCAACAAATGCGGTATGCCGCGCAATGCAGCCACGCGTATTATTGTGGTCAATATCTCGCCATACCCAGCGAGTACACATTTAACGTTCAACATTCGTTTCTTGGTCCATCATGAGCAAGATTCGGTTACATCGATCGCGGTGATCAGTGTCACATCACAGCGCTCTTCAGTGGAAGCTCCATTCCGTAAAGGGCAGTGAGCTACCGCCCCAAGGATGACGTAACAATCTCGTTTCGCTTGGAGCACGTCCCCGACCTCAGCAAAAAGGCACCTTCAAGAGAGGCGCCAATATTACGACGCCCGCATAAGGCGGATTTTGGCACTTGGTCGCATCTGGAAATCGAGACACCCGACCGCCAACCACCACCAACACGACCATCCCGGCACCGGCAGCCTGAGACCGAGACCACAGCCCGCCCGTCACGAGCTCCCATCCCTACCGCGTGCTCCCGCTCTTTTGACTCGACGCCCTTGGCTCCGAATTCGCCTGCCAGAACCCGCCGCGAGATCATGTGCTTCCGTCACTCTCTGCCGCTTTCTCATCAGCTGTAGAGCCGCGGGGATCAGAAGACGCTGTCGCCTGGCCGGCCGCCTAGCCCCGATCCGCCTCGTCGACTTCGGACGACCCTTACCTGCATAAACGAACAAAACCTGGGCCGTCCCGCGTCTCCGCGCCTCGTCGTCTTGGGACTTTTGTCCAAGGCACACACGCAACGGTCAAGCTGGCTCCTTTCAGACGATTCGGTCCCCCGCGCCCGCATCCTCACAACCGCACGAGTCTACTGCGATACATATTCCCGCGGACGCTTCGAGATCGATACCGCGAGCGCGTCCTCGACTTCAGGCTCGACACCCTCCCCCAGCTCAAACACCGCCTTCAGTCTCGCATCTACCGTTACATCCTCGAGCGTCAGCGCAAACGGAACGAGAAGTCGAGGCTCCTCGACGTCTTTCGGCGGCAGAGTCGCCGGCTGCTCTTGGGTCCGCCCCCAGCCAGGCCGGCGCGGCATGCGAGGGGAGGACAGACGAGCAAGAAGATGCCGTCTTGGTCGGATTACACGGGCTACGGAGGTGGAGCGGCGAGCGGTGCGAATGGGAATGGCAACGACGATGGGTACGGCGAGAGAGGGTCACGTAGGAAATGGCTGGCGGCCAAGGCGGGCAGCGTGTACCGGGCTGGCGCGGTCGCCATGAACGAGATAAAAGAAGGATACGCGCAGACGAGGGTACGGTCGCTCGAAACGGAAGATGGCATGGCGCGGACGACGATCCCTGGGTCGTTTCCGGGTGTTGCGATCACGGTGCAGGGCGACGACCAGATGGTCATCTTCCCTTCGTATGCGAAGAGACACACGAAACAAGACTGGGGCGATGGTGATGAGTACTTCTCGCAGGACCCGCATGGGAGCATTCGAGACCCCGATTACTGGAGGAAAGAGTGGGAGCGCAACGAGGATGAAAGGGCCATCGTCGATATCGACGTGCGAGGATGGGTCTACTCGCCGCACAAAGGGCCCATGACGAGACGCAATCGCATCCTCATCGGCCTCGCACGACAACTGAGCGGCATCCCGGCCCCGAGACAAGATGCACCCGCTGCTGATACCTTGGGAGCACTGCACCAGTCTCACGAAGAACGGAGGGAGCAGGAGAAGATTGCCAAAGAGGCGGCGGAGATCGAGAAGAGGGGCCAGGAGGAGAGGCGTGTGGCGAACCAAGGTGGCTTTAGTGAGCCTGCGAGAGAGGACGACGACGACGATGCCGGCAGCATATACCCAGCGAGATCGAGGTCCCGCAGCGGCACGCGGACGCCGGCGACGACCCCGGGATCTCCCAAGATGCCGGCCAGGCAGTACACGACGGGCGGTGAAATGTCGGACGCCGAGTTATCCGTCGCAAACGCCAACCTCATGGCCAGGATAGCACCGTTCATGACGACGCCGCTGGTTCAGCTGCCCATTACCATTTTCTTTTACAACGATGAGAAGTCGGCATCGCGGACGGTGCAAACGAACGACGCAGGGCACTTCATCATCCGCGCCGCCCTCGATTTCGTCCCCACGCACGTTCGCGTTCTGGCGAATGAGAGTCTGTCGGCGACTCAGGAGGTCAAGATCATTGAGCCGAAGGGTGTCAGTCTGATCAGTGACATCGACGACACCATCAAGCGGTCCAACATCTCGGGTGGTGCCAAGGAAATCTTCCGCAACACATTTATCCGTGAGCTCAAGGACCTGACGATTGAGGGCGTGCGGGAGTGGTATAATGAGCTGCACGCGATGGGCGTGAGCATTCACTACTGCTCCAATAGCCCGTGGCAGCTGTTCCCGGTTCTAGCGAGCTACTTCATGATTGCGGGCCTGCCTCCTGGGTCGCTTCATCTGAAGCAGTACAGCGGCATGCTCCAGGGCATCTTCGAGCCGGTGGCTGAAAGGAAGAAGAGCACGCTCACCAGATTGATGAAGGACTTCCCAGAGCGCAAGTTCCTGCTGGTGGGCGACAGTGGTGAGGCAGACCTGGAGGTGTACACGGAGTTGGTCGATTCGCACCCCGGACGCATCATCGCGGTCTTCATCCGGGATGTCACGACCCCTGAACAGAGCGGCTACTTCGACTCGTCCTTTGAGGGCAATCCTGCGCGTCAGAAAGCTCCCACGATTCGTCTTCAAGACAGGAGTGACGAACCCGTCAACAGACCCAGGCTCCCTTCACGGGGCGAAGCTAAGAGCGTCGGACCCGTCATGGGCAACCTGATTGACTTCTCCGACGAGCCGGAAGAGACCACCCTGGACGATGCGGCGGCGCTCGCCCAGCTCAAAGCACAAGCAAAGCCAAACGCGAGCGCAAGCACTACGGATTTGGCCATCCGGAAGCCCCCTCCGCCTCGTCCCAACAAGCCAGCAGCCCTCCGCAGCGCGCCTTCGGATACAAAGGTGCCCACAACGGGGTCAAATGGCGGCACTCCGCCTCCGCCCGTGCCGCGGTCGAGGAAGCCATCCGCTGATCGATCGGCACCCCATCCGCTATCGCAAATACACAACGCTTCCCAACAAACGGTGGCCAGCACCAGCAGCCAACCGAGCAGCGGCAAGATCCCCGCCAGGACGTCTCCCGCCGACATGAGCAAGGCGTTCAAGGTCCCGCCGCCGCCGCCACCCCCTCGGCGCCGGGATACCCCGTCCAGCTCCCGCAGCCTCAGCCCGCGGACCATCAACCGGCAGAGACTCTCGAGCAACGACGACATCGACTTCGACGCCCTGCCGCCGTCCTCCTCGGGCCCCCAGCAGCCGCCGGCGTTCGCCAGGACCAAGACCGGCAGCCTGAAGTCGGGGGCCACGTCGCCGACGGTGGGCTCGCCGACGCTGGGGCCGACGTACCCCAACCGGAAGCACGAGCTGTGGATGCGCCGGCTGCAGCGGGCGCAGGAGGTCCTGGAGCACCACGGCGTGGCGCTGTACACTTGGAGGAGGGGCGACGACGTGGTCGCGGAGGCCGTGGGTATGGTGAGGGAGGAACTGAAAAGAGTGGGAGTCGGGGAGAAGGATGCCCGGACGGAGGGGAAGAGGTTTGAGAGGCAGTTGAAGAGGGAGCAACAGCAGCAGCAGCAGCAGCAGTCGAGGAGGTGACCTGCGCGATCCAGTTTTGGGTAGAAGCGTCTCGGAAAACGGAATAATTCGGCGCTGGTGGGGGGGAGATTCAAGTAGATATATACAATCAATTCTGAAATCATTCGAAGCCGATGGTCCGAGGCGTTCGTGGGGCCGTCTGTTGTATGTGCTCTTCAGAGGATTCGCTACCGAGAGGCCTAGGCTTGCATAGATGATCGAGTCAAAGCTTGTCCTTCTTCAACGGGCCTCGGAACCGCAACCGAACTCGCGACAAGCATAACATACAAGGCGCGTTTGGAGAATATGAGCGCCTCATATTGGAGGCACGTGCGGTTTCCCGGAGGTAGATGGGAGTGGAAGTGATGCCGGTGGGCGGCGGCCAGGCGTGACCCTGTTTCTCCGCGGCAGACTGACTGACAATCAGATGGACGGCCTCATCGCAGCAACGGTGAACCTTGTCTGAACAGCCAGCACCGACCGCAGAGATTGGTGGCTTTACAACCTTAACTCAATCAATCCCGTTCAGACGGTGCCCTGTCAGAAAAAGCTTAGCTGTGGTGGTTTCAGACGACGGAGACGACCGTTCAAGGTGAAGCGCGCCGGCGGATTTGGATATATGTTTGTGGAGTGTTTTTTGCTGCTGTCTTTTGTGAGAAGCTTGTTTGATGGGGAGTTGCGGTTCACGGGTTGCTCGTGTGGAAGGCGAGATGTGATTCGAGTTGCTGTGTTGGACTGGAATATAGGGGTTGATGAACCTGTTGGGCGAGGAGAATGTCCGAGTATATAAAGATGATGAAGGACTCGGCTTTGGCTCGATTTTGGGTGTCATCATCAGCTTTCAAGAGCTTGAAGATACACTTTGGTTCTCTCTCCACACAAACGACTGGGTCGTCTCAAGACAAGCTGGTCTATCATCTCATCTCCGGTTCCACACATCTTGCTCGGCCAAGACACCAACAATATTCTCCTTCATCCCAAAAGCCCCCAAGCCAAGGCGCTAATCGCCCCATCACGACCTCCACGCCGACATGTCTCTCCGAAACACCCTCCTCTTGGCCCTCTTCGCCACCGCCGCCCTCGCCTCCCCGGCCAAGTCCAAGCCCAAGCACGGCTCCGGCTCCGGCTCCGGCTCCTCCCACACGACCCCCGCCGTCCCGGCCGGCACGGGCACTTCTTCTCCCTCCGCCGGCGCGACGAACGGGACCACGGGCGGAACCAACACGGATCTGCAAACCACCTTCCCCACCCCGAAAGGCTCGCAGAACCTGAACGCCGTCAAGACCATCGCCGCGGGCCAGTCGTTCGACGGCGGGATGCAGCTCTGGGACCGGAGCCCGAGCACGTGCAAGGGGCAGACCGAGGGCGGGAACAAGGACGCGGTGTTCATCCTCGAGGAGGGCGCCACGATCAGCAACGTCGTCGTGGGGCCGAATAACGGCGAGGGCATTCACTGTCTGGGGAGCTGTACCATCAACAACGTGTAAGTCGCGTCACCCCCAAACAACATCTACCACTGCATCGTCGAAACTAACACCGGACACAGCTGGTTCCAAGACGTCTGCGAGGACGCCATCACCTTCAAACAGACCTCCGGCACGTCCTACGTCAACGGCGGCGGGGCGCGGAACGCCGAGGACAAGGTGCTGCAGCACAACGGCGGGGGCACGGTGGCGGTGAGGAACTTCTTCTGCAAGGGCTGCGGCAAGGTGTACCGGTCGTGCGGGAACTGCAAGTCCGGGCAGTCCCCGCGGAAGTCGACGTTCGACAACGTGCGGCTGGACGGCGGGAAAGTGCTGGCGGCGGTGAACGGGAACCTGGGCGACACGACGGAGGTGCGGGACTCGTGCGTGCTGGGCGGCGCGGACGTGTGCGAGGTTTTTGAGGGGAATAGTAGCGGCGCGGAGCCCAAGATGGTCGGGAAGGGGCCGGATGGGAAGGTTTGTGTTGCGAGGAATGTGAAGACGAGCGGGTGTTAGACGGGTTTGGAGTGGGTTGACTCTGGTAAGAGAGAGTGTATATAAAGAAGATTTGTAAATACTGAAATTGGCTTGAAGCCAACATGAACACTTACTGACTGAAACCGGTGAATCGCCGACATCCAACGGCTTGATAGTCGCAATTCAAGTTTACCACCCAGACTGACTGCGCAAGAGTCAACATCACAAGCCGACATCGATCCATATCCCAGCCGGCGTCGGAACTTGACCGGGGTTGACCCACAGCCCCGCCCGGCCAGCTCCGTCCCGACAAATCGGCCACGATCCCGGTCTCCACCGAGGGCTCGCAAATTCTGCCCCACGAGAGTCATGCCTACACAACCTGATTTTCCGCATTTGGCCTCCACAACAAGCGAGCACCTCAGCTCCTGTTCCAACGGTCTATTAGTCTAGTTGGTTAGGACGTCGGATTCTGATGATCACCATCGTCTCTTCCGTAAGCCCAGGTTCGAATCCTGGATGGACCTTCATTTTTGGCCCTGGCGTGATGGGGTTGGTTCTTCTCTCTCGGCGACTCAATGACAGGTATTTATGACATGAATTCTGCCGGCAGGAATCTTCAGATATGACTAAAATGGATGCGTTGCGTTTGTATGTATTCTATTGCATAGTTGACGGAACGCATACCGCGTATACGGTGTTATGAAACGGTCTGGGTGAGGCCATTCAGCGCCACCATATACGCCGCCTGGAACAGAGTTTTATTCTTTCGGAATATTGAATGTTGAATGGGTACTCGTTGAGCATGGCGAGATGTTAAATAGACTGAGAAATCAGGGTGGCTGCATTCACTGTAACCGCGTTTGTTACGAAAGGGCGCTGTTGGTTTACGATAATGCACTAATACCCATGGGAGGTGTCCGGAATGGTCGCCTCGAAAACTCCATATTCGTTGATTACCGTCGCAGTCGAGGGTCATTTCTTCCAAGTCCAATCTATGGAGTACCAAAGAACCGGCCATTCCGCGATGCATCGCCTCAGAATACGGGGTACCGGGACCGAACCGAGGCCCCATGAGGCAAAAGAACCCTTCCAGAATTCCTGATTCCAGCGGCAAAGCCCGGTCTGCAGGGACTCTAAACCGGGGTCAAGGTTCTGCTCGCCGGTTTGCCGAGCACCGCGTTGTGGGGGCATGGACGGGTTCATCTCGTATCGCGAGATCACCACCGCAACCTAAATTGACGCCTCTAATAATAGAGTTCATGTGGATTCGAACATTCGATAAAAAGCACGCGAGCGACGGCCAACATCATGAGTTGGAGAGGTTCAGCAGCGTTGTTGCTCAGTTTCGTCGCCGTCAACTAATCACCTCGCTCGCCTTTGGGCGGCTTCCTATCGTTAATCATGCATGTTCCCTCGTTCTTGGGTCTCTTGACCTCTTGTCTTTCGTTATGTTCCGTCTCACTCGCCATCCCTACAGAGCGCCGTGCGACCAACGACAGCTCCGCCGATGTTCAGACGTACTTCAACCTCGACGGCGCCGCCCACGGCGATAAGTCCAAGTCCCTGACCGCCGACGGCTACCGCGTCATCTCGCTGAGCGCATACGGCACGGCCTCGAACGCAAACTACGCTGCCGTCTGGGTGAAGCGTGAAGGGGACCCCTTCGAAACCATCTACGACGCCGACGAATCCACCTACAACTCCTGGTTCGACTCGTGGAAAGCCAAGGGCTACGTCTCGACACACGTCTCCGCCACGGGGCCGGCCGGCAGCGCCGTCTTCGCGGGCGTCATGGAGAAGAAGGCCAACACCGCCACCAAGTGGGCTCAGGTCTGCGGCATGACATCCCCCTACGCCTACGAGAACGCGACCGCCGGCGTCCCGATGCTCATCAAGGACTTCCGCATGTACGGAACCCCCGCGGACCGAAGGTACTGCATCCTCGGCCACGAGAACATCGGAAACCAGCTCTCCACCATCTTCTACACCACAAACTACTCCATCGACTACCCGGAGGTCTACTCCTCGGAGCTCCAGAAGCGCTTCTGGCGCCCCGCTCACCTCTTCGTGTCGGACGACCACGTCATCACGCCGCAGTTCGTCGACACCGAGGTCGGCGAGTGGGTGGCCAAGGACGGCCTCACCGGACCCGAGCTCGCCGCCGAGATCAAGACGCAGAACGCCCGCGGCCTCCACCCCATCTCCCTCCACGGCGGCGTCTCCGGCGCGGACGCCCGCTTCGCCGTCATCTTCGCCGAGACGGACGTCCCCGAGGCCCGCAAGTGGTCCGCCACGGGATCCATCACCGGCTTCCAGGACAACGACTTCGCGACGACGGCCTTCGACTCGACCATGCAGACCTGGATGAAGAAGAACGGCGTCCGGCAGGCGCAGATCGCCGTCGCGCTCAACGGCACCGCCATCGCCGAGCGCAGCTACACCTGGGCCGAGGCCAACCGCGCGGTCGTGCAGCCCGACGACGTCTTCCTCCTCGCGAGCGTGAGCAAGATCTTCGTCCACGCCGCCGTCTTCAACCTCGTCGAGGCCGGCCTGCTCAACTACTCCACCCCGGTCTACCCGCTGCTCGGGTACGAGCACCCGGCCGATCCGCGGGCGAACGACATCACCGTCGACCACCTCCTCCGCCACGCCTCGGGCTACAACCGCGACAAGTCCGGCGACGTGGCCTTCATGTTCCGCGAGGTCTCCTTCGCGCTGTTCAACGGCACCCGCGCCGCCACGCTGCGCGACATGATCGAGTACCAGCTCACCAAGACGCTCGACTTCGACCCGGGGACGGACTACTCCTACTCCAACTACGGCACCATGCTGGCCTCGTACGTCGTGAGCAACGTCACCGGCGTGCCCTACCTCGACTTCCTCAGGGACAACGTCCTCGACGGCCTCGACGTGAGGCTGTACGAGACGGCGGCCGCCAAGCACGCCGACGACCGCGTCGTGCAGGAGAGCAGATACACGGGCTACGACCCGGTGGACCCGGACGCCTACCGCAAGGTGCCCGGGCCGCACGGGGGCGACGGCGCGATCAAGGAGGAGTGCGCGGGCGGGTTCTCGCTGGCGGCCAGCGCGGGCTCGGTCGCGCGGTTCATCGGGTCCCACGCCGTTGCCGGGACCGGCGGGCGCGCGGTGTACGCCGAGCGCGACGGGACCGTCGTCGGTGCGAGGGCGTTCGCGTCGAGTCGGCCGGATGTGGACTGGGCGTTGACGCTGAACACGCGGGAGTATATTTCCGAGGCGGAGTTTGATGATTTGAGATATTGGAAGATACCCTTTGTTTTTGAGGATCTGAAGCTAGCATAGAATGGTTGAGGGGTGGAGGGAAGTAATACAAAAATGGCACAAGATTGTGAATGGATTTCACTGGAGAAGTGCTGCGTCTTAGCATTTACGAAATCTTACTAGCGATGGAGGCATATGCAACGAGCTCCTTCAAGGCCTCCCTGTGCTCTCGTTCAATCACATCGGCATGATGGGGAGACCGGGGTGTGATGGAGCAGGGGAACGGCAGCGGACTCGAGTTGAATCCGTCAGAGCACGCAAAACTATACAACGGTCAGCCTTTGCTGGGACATGAAACAAAACGGGACTCACATGTCAACCTCGCAGTCTCTACCCTTTTCGTCTTTGGCCGGCTTCACTTCGAAAGCCCACAGCATGCGCGCAATGTTGATCGCTACCGAAGCAGATCCGAGGTGCATCCCGGGACAGATCCGCCGGCCCCAGCCGAAGGCGCTGTGGCCGAACGTCCCGGGGTACTCCCGCTCCTCCAGGAACCGCTCCGGTTTGAACTCGTGAGGCGCGGGAAAATCTGCCTCGTTGAGGTGGACTAGAGAGACCGTCAGTGAAGTCAGAGGCGGGTTGACATTGAGGGATGCTCACGGCTCCAGAGGGGCGCGATGATCGTGCTCCCCTTGGGGATGAACATGCCCTTGTACACGTAGTCCGCGGTGCTGGCGTGCGGCGTGCCGCCGAGGACGGCGACGGGCCTCCAGCGCAGGGTTTCCGAGGCTATCGCGCGGACGTATTCGAGCTTGTCGAGGTCGTCAAAGGTCGGGAGGCGGTCGCGGCCGACGACTCTGTCGAGCTCTTCCTGGGCGCGGGGGATGAAGCTGGGACCGAACTTCACGCACGCGAGGAGGAAACTCGCGAGTGACCCGGCGGACTGCAGATATTAGATGGACGAGGCAAAGAGAGAGGAGAGGTCAGGCGGCTCACAGTTTCAACGCCCGCGCCGAACGGCGAGCCTGCGGTGTAGGCGATCTCCACGTCCGACATGCCCAGATTCGTCTGTTCTTGCAGGAGATGCTTTGCGAAGCACTCTGGCGCCACGCCTCTGGCGACCTTGTCGCGGACTTCGTCCATGAGCTCGGTGTAAAGTTGAATATCCTTCTGTCTCTGCTTCAGGACCTCGGCTTTCCAGGGGGCGAGGAAGCTTGGAACGTGTTTTAATGCCGGATACCTCTCGACGGCGAACTTGCCGGGGATGCTGTGAACGGTCATCAGATGAGCTCTAAGCGGCTAACGAGTCGTGGTCATACTTGACGGATGTCAGCCGGCCCATCGACTCAGCGTTACGCCGCACCACGATGTCCGTCCTCACGTCCTCGACCCTCCGGCCGTAGGTCACCGTCACGATGACCGACGCCGCATATCGCTCGAGGTGTCTCCTAAACCCAGCCGGATCCGCCAGGAGCTCGTGCATGAGCACTTTCGACTCGAGGCTCTGGACGGGGCGATACGACTCGCTCTGGCGCTGCATGAAGCCGCCGTGGAGGAGTTTCCGCCAGCGCCTCCAAAAAGACGAGTACGGCGCCATCAGCCCCCTCATGCCGCCCGAGAGGAGCTCGCCGCCCATGATGAAGCGCGGGCGCGAGGAGAAGATGGCGCCTTTCTTCTCGAGGAGGTCCCATGCGGCCTGCGCGGAGCCGAGGATGATTGTGGGCGTCGGGCCGAGCTGGAGGTAGACGACGTCGCCGTATTCTTTGCTCAGCTCGTGGAACCAGAGCCAGGGCTTGGAGATGCCTGTTCTGATGGTCTTGGGGCCGGGCGGGAGCTGGGAGCGGTGGGAGTAGAGTTTCCATTCTTGTTGGAGCTGGGAGGGTGGTTAGCGGGTCGTGGTGAGTGAGTCGTGACGGGTAAATGGTGAAGTCATACCCGCGGAAATATGAGGGCAAGGTATGAGATGGCTGTGAGAGCGGCTGCCCAACCTAATATGCCCACGATCATCTTGAACTGATCTTGAGTTGATCTTTAGCTGAAGAGTGGTGGAAATGAACGGGGGATGACAGATTCATCAATAATTATTCTGAAAATTGACTGAGTTTGAATGAGGTCCATGAGCATCAGATGAAACTACCGAGGGCCCGAGGTCATCAGATCTCTCAGTTGCAGTCCGCGTCTTTCGCAAATATCAACTGCCGATATCAGCCAAACTTCACAGTAAGCCACCCCCACCGATAATGGATCTTCCAAGGTCGCTAGACAGGGCATTTGAATCCTCTCAGAGTGGAATTGTGAGCAGCTCGCTTCTTATCGTGACGTGACAGGTTCGAAACCCCGCAGTCCGAGTTGCAGGTGGATGGCGCGGGGAAGCGAGCCTGCGCGTTGACTCTGGGGTTCCCCCACACTCATCTGCTGACAAGGACCTTACAAACATTGCGTTTGTAGACGGGTAATAATACCCATTATTGTAATATAGCAGTTGTAGCAATGAATTAGTGAAATGTCGCTCGCATTTGGTGAACTTTGTGAGATTGTTGTATTTCTGGTTATTTTGGGTTGGAGTGAGTTGTGAACCGCTGTGAACCCTCATCATGAAACCCAACAGTTCTGCGTGGCTCAGCAAGCCGTTCTTAACATCCATTCTGCTGGGAATAGGAGGTTTCCTTTACGGATAGTAAGTTATTTACATCAGCTCTGGTTCCACCCGCCCTGACTGACCATCACCAGTGACTCCGGAATAATCACCCCGAGCCTGGCACTCAAGTCTTTCTTGACGTATTTCGGAAACCCAGATGCCCCCCTCAGAGGTGCTATTGTGTCAGTCTATCAAGCAGGAGGTACGTAAACATCAGAAGCCCATGGGCGAAAGAGAAATGAACCGAGAACAGCCTGGCTTGGAAGCGCATCGGTGGGCATCACCAGTGACCGCCTCGGTCGACGGCGGGCCATCGCTTTTGGATGCATCTGGGGCGTCATTGGCGGGGCGTTGATGGCTGGTGCTGCTCACGTTGCAATGCGTAAGTCCCAAAGATGACTTCATTGAAAGGGAGAATCCTGGCTAAGCTTCTCAGTCATCATGGGCCGTCTTCTGGTCGGGTTTGCCGTGGGGACGATCACAGGCGTCGCTCCTGTGTTTGGTGCCGAAATCGCCAAGGTTTGCCGCTCGTTCATGTAAGAATATCAATCCACTGACATCCATGGCCTTAGACCCACGAAAGAGCCAGAATCACAGCTGTCAACCAGATGAGTCGGGCTCCCCTCGAATGCCACCCACTTCCCCTTGAGGCTAACCTCACGCAGTGGTCGCCTGGGGCTTCTTCGTCGCCCTCTGGACCGGCGTGGGCGAAGGCAAATGGCACAACCCCAACCAATGGAGACTAGGCTTCGCGATCCAGAGCATCCCCGCCCTCATCCTCGGCGTCGGCGTTCTCTTCCTAAGCGAGTCGCCCCGATGGCTCTGCCTCAAAGGCCGCCACGAAGAAGCCGAGAAGGCGTTCCGGAACTACCACCACGACGGGGCCAACGACGAGTGGTGCCGCGCCGAGTTCACCGCCATCCAGGTCAACATCGCCGAGGAGCTGTCCGTGCAGGGCCGGCTCTCGTGGGGAGACCTCTTCAGGACGCCGGCGTTCCGGAGACGGCTCTTCGTCGGGTCCTTCGTCTGGGCCGCCGCGATGCTGTCGGGTATCTCGTTCGTGCAGTACTACCAGACGGCCATCTACGCCACGCTGCAGTTCAGCCAGGACCGGCAGCTCCTGGTCAGCGGGCTCTACGGGTCCGTCGCGCCCGTGGCCTGCCTCGCGTCGCTGTTCTTCGTGGACCGGGTCGGACGTAGGAAGATTCTGGTCGGCAGCTCGTCGCTGCTGGCGGTGTGCTATGCGATCATCACCGTCCTGGCGGCGGTGTACCCTGCGAGGCCCGGGTTCCCGACGAACGAGGCGGCCCAGCGCGGTCTTATCGCCTGCATCTTTGCCGTTTCGGCCAACTACTCTGCCCTGCTGGGTCCGATGACCTGGATCATTCCGTGAGCACCCCGGGTGAGGTCTGAAGATTGCAACTGACGGACCTTTCACAGACCAGAAGTATTCACCACGGAGCTCAGGGCGAAAGCGAACGCCATCGTCCAGGTTATACACTACTCCATCAGTCTGGTCATCACGCAGTGCTCGCCCATAGCACTTGCGGAGGTTGGATGGAAGTACTACGTATGTGAGACCGTGATTGACGAAGGAAGCTGCTCATTCGTCATTCAGATCCTTTTCATTCTAACTAACGCCATCTGTGCGGTGATCTTTGCTTTGTTTTATCCGGAAACAAGAGGTGAGCCTGCATGAGAAGGGGCCAGAAACATTGTCTAACCATGGACAGGTAAATCGTTGGAGGAGATTGATGAAATCTTTGGCGATGTCAAGGTCGTCCGAACTGCTGATGTTGACCTTGCTGAGAAGGCGGGTCTCGAAGAGGTCGAAACACGCAGATCGCGTACGAATGAATGAGCAGGCAAAATAATCTCGAGCTATCCTGGGCTGTTCGGCAAAAAGAAAAATAGTCTCACTTACACTAAGGACCATCGGCTGTCGCAAAGCCGCAGACCCTAGTCAACAGCTTCACATTCATCGGCAGCGACATTGGCGCATAGAGTAGACATGCGTTTGGTAAAGAAAGTTCCAATTTGCATGTTGATGCGCCATTGCTTTACAATGTCTTTCTTCGTCCTGGTGATCAGCATGAAGCAAGATTCCCGGAAACGGCGTCGCACTCTGGTGAGACACGGGTCGTACCTGATGCGGAAGCAGACGAAAACTTCAGCAACTACCCACCAAGCGAAATGATCTCAACTACCTTTAACCATAAGTGTTTCTGAGGTATTCCTGCCTGAGTATTATGAACATTGACTAACGCATACTCGTGTATTCACCGCTGCTGTCGTCAGAATCCATCTTTCAGGATGGTCAGGGTGCGTTATTCCCTCCAGCATTTGGTCGAAAAGTACGACACGAGAGAAGACCCGACGGCCCTGCAAAACCTCATCAGAGCCTTCAGAATCATCCAGAGGCTTCCACACGAGCACGAGGACTCATTCTTCACCATTGCCGGATACCACGGCGAGCCCTTCGAAAAGCAGGACCAGGCGAGCCCCAAGTGGTGGGGAGGATATTGTCAGCATGGGACGGTCCTCTTTCCCACATGGCATAGAGCGTATCTCCTGCGTCTGGAAGAAGCCTTGCGGAATGCCCTGCCAGAGGCCGATATTGCACTGCCGTTCTGGGACGAGTGCCGTGCCTTGGAGAGCGACGACGACCCTATTCCCTGGGTCTTGACGGCGCCGACTTTCGACCTGGACGGGGAAAATGTGAATCCTCTCTACTCATACAAACTTCAGAAATCTATTGGTGAGAGTCCGCGCGACGGATCGAAGACACCACGATATGCGAAACCGGCCGGCTACGAAACAGTCCGTTACCCTCTCTCGGGTCTGGTCCAAGAGCAGAAAGCAGCCGAAAGACACAACTCCTCCTTCACAGACCCAGCATCGAACGCGAGGATCCTCAACGACAACGTCAGGGCATGGCTGCACGGAAAAGTCGAGATCGACACCCACGACGACACCTCGACCCTGCCGGACACCTACTCCGTATACAGCCGGTACAAAACGTGCCTCGAGGCGCCTAACTACACGGTCTTCTCCAACAAGGAGTCCATGGCGCAGTACATGACCGAGTCCCAGGAGCAAGGGCTTCCGTTCTACGGCGTGGCCATCGAGGATCCGCACAACGCCATCCATCTGGCCGTCGGGGGCTTCTTCGAGAAGAACAGCTACAACGCGAACCCCATCCGCGGTGCTAATGGAGACATGGGGGAGAACGAGACGGCTAGCTTCGATCCCATCTTCTTCCTCCACCACGCGTTTGTCGATTACATCTTTTGGACGTGGCAGCGCCGGAGGGGACTTACTGAGAAGGGTAGTTTGTCTGTGACGGCGGGCTATGATGGGACGGTGAGCGGTGGGAATCCGGTGTTCGCGACGGGCACGATACTGGACGTGGACAGTCCGCTCGCGCCTTTCATGAAGCCCAACGGGGATTTCTTCACTTCAAGAGACGTGACGAATATCGAGGATCTTGGGTACACGTACGGAGAGGGCTCGTTTGATGAGTTATCGTCGACTATCCCCGCCGCACCATCTTCCCGTGTCATCGCTGCCGTTGCGCGAGTGACGGGCGTGAGCCGGTCTGACTATAACGGCTCCTTCGTCATTCACACTTCTGCCATCATGCCTGACGGAAATGAGGTTCGTGTTGGCCGGGATGCGGTGTTGAGTCGTTGGGACGTGGCCCGATGCGGAAACTGTCAAGTCCACCTGCGTGAGCAGGCATTCATACCCATCACGGGGAGTCTGATGAGACTGCTTGGCGTTCATGATGTGGAACAACTGAAAGAGAGGCTGATCGTTCGCTTGCAGACGCGGAATGGAAACGTTTCTGTATTACCCCAAGTCGAGATTGGCCTGCCTCTCTCACCCTCGGTGAGCCGTTATCTGTATCCCAGACTATAGCAAACGCCCTGCCGAGCTGTCCGAATCCCATCCCAGATAATTTCTGATTATATCTTTTACATACAATGCTTTCGCTGGTTTTCATCCCTACGTCGCCCACTCTGGAATTCCTCACACCCCCCGTGAACGCCGTCGTTCAATGTTTCAGCTCGTAGCTCTCCAGATACGGCATGGGTTTGTACACCGGCGGCGGCGGCGAGAACTCGATGTGCTCAACATACGCCATCTCTTCGTCCCTCGTGTGGCAGCACCGCGCGACCCGGCTCCTCCGCACCGCCTCGAGGTGCTCCCGCACGCACGCCCGCCGCAAGAAGACGAGAAAGACGGCCCCCGTGAAGAACGCCATCGTCGAGACGCTCAGAACCTCCCACGCGACGGCCCACCCCGCGAGGTAGCCGGGCAGGTCGTGGCGCCAGCGGCCGTGTTGCATGCAGGCGAAGCCGGCTATCTGGAAGGTGATCCAGGCGAAGCAGTAGGAGAAGACGGACTTGCCGGCCCTGTGAGGGAGCGGCTTGACGGAGGGGTTGAAGAGGAAGAAGACGAGGGAGCCGCTGTGGGCGAAGAAGAAGAGGAGGGAGAGGGCGATGACGGCGGTCTGGCGGGGCGGGGAGAGGCTGAAGAGGAGGGAGAGGACGGCGCCGGATGCCAGGCCGGTTATAAGAATGAGTGTGCCGAGGGTTTGGCAGAGGCTCATGAGACTTTGTCGTTTTGGTTGTGGTGTTGTTGGCGTGGTTCGTCTTGTGTTACTGGTTGCGGATGTGTGTTGTCCATGATGTGACCAGCAAGCTCTGCAAAACCTCTTGTTGGGCATGGTGACGAGGTTGGCTGTGCCAGTTGTGGGTGAAAAGCGTGCCGGTTGAGTTGAGTTGCTCATCAGGAGAAGTAAGGATATCGCGAGCTACGAGAACAAAAGACTCGTCAGGCATGTATTGATATTCGGTCAACTTCAGCCAACACCCTCAGGCTTGACGCCTACTTATGTTCATCTTGAAGAGCACATGAATGTCAAAGTTTAGACTTGGAATAAGTCTTGGAGGCGGGAGGCTTCAGGAGAGTTCATCACAGTTCGTGAGGCGTCGATGTCTCTGGAATAGTGCCAACTCTCCGTAACCCTGATAGCAATCAGATCAATACTTTCTAGTTATGAATATTATTGCAGAAGAGTTGAATACCGTCTCGCAACTGTTAGGGAGATCAGCTTAATTCGTATGCTTAATTTCCAACAACGGAAGTCGTGGTTGTTGCTCGTGTGCATCTTCGAGCCTCCGAATAGCCATGGCTTGCCGTCTCACCGCCAGACCGCAGACCTCGCACGGCCGAACACCGCGGCCATCCGGTTACCACCAGATCACAATCCCGATCGTCTCACGAGACCTCGGACGTCGGCGGCCGCATGCGACACGAAAATGGCGCTCGTCCTCCCGCGTGAGCCGTGTGGCCCGCCCGCCTCCGGCTTCCCCTCCCGCAGTCCGACCGCGGATCGCGCGACCATCTTCTCCAAGCAGCTTCCCCTCTTCCCCTCTTCATCCGTGCAGCTTCGAAACCCCAAGCTCGAGCTCAGTCTCGAGCTGTTCAGTCCAGGCTTCACCCCCACGCGGTGCTTCTCGCCGACGTGGCTCCGTCCATCTCCGCTCCAACAGGAGCTTCCAGAGCTAACCGAAGCTGTGCATGCCGGGTACCCAGCTTCAACTTGACACGTTTGCTCGTTTTCGTGGTTGTCCGCCAGCGGGAGAGACACAAACTGCATCTCAGAAAATGGCCCCGCAGGACCAGACTCCAAGTTCCAGCCAGTGAAGCAACGATGATGCGAGGCCTTGACTAATGTGCCTGTTCCAGCTCAAGGACTGGGGTGTTGGCGGTGGACTCTGTGGAGCCTTTCCAGGTGGTCTTGGCCGCAACCATGAAGTTGACAAGTCTTTAGCGTGGTGTTTTGGTGTTGTACCGGCTTACCACGAGCTTCAATCTGTCATAGTCTCTAGGTGAGATAAGACTGACATGCGAGTTGCTTAACAAATCTCACTTTGTTTTTCGGTGAGAAAACGCTTGGATTATCATTCCAAATCAGGCTGGTTCCCGCCAAGTCGCTCCCGCAGCTCTTAGCCGCAGCACCAAGCAATGAGAACAACATCGAGATGAGCTGTCCAAGCCGCATGTGCAGTTACACCGCAGATGGGCATTACTCAGGTACATGTCGTCTACATGCGGCCCATCCGGGTCTCCATCAAAACGATTCCCAAGATCCACCATCGTGCGCCCCCTTATCCATGTTCGTCTCCATGTTCCCCCATGTCAACTTCATTCATCAGATTGCTGAGTGAGGTCCCGCCCTCCCTTCTTCCATTGGCACTGGCATTGGCATATCAATTGATTAGCTCCGGCGTCAGTCCGTGTGCCTGATCAATGACATCAGCGGGGTTGAGGAATGCCGTCACGGCCGCTTCGAAACCGAAAAAAAGCTACCCCTCCATCATGCCACCATAATGCCCCTCCATCGAAACCCTTGCGAGCCTTTCTATCTTAAGCCATCACTTCTCGCGCCGATCTGTTTTCATCCCTCTCTTCTTCTTTTCTTTCTTTCATCCAACAAAACTTTACTTTGATACCCCTCATCCTGCCTGCATACCTTTTTTCTTACCCCTCAACTCCAAAACAAGCCGTCGCCATGCCTCAACAAATTCCCACCGCCTCCCGCCTCCTGGACCTCTTCAGCCTCAAGGGCAAGGTCGTCGTCGTCACCGGCGCTTCCGGACCCCGCGGCATGGGCATCGAGGCCGCCCGTGGCTGCGCCGAGATGGGCGCCGACCTGGCCATCACCTACTCGAGCCGCAAGGAGGGCGCCGAGAAGAACAAGGCCGAGCTCGAGAAGGAGTACGGCGTCAAGGTCAACATCTACAAGCTGAACGTCAGCGACTACGAGGACGTCGACAAGACCGTCAAGCAGATCCTCTCCGACTTTGGCAAGATTGACGCCTTCATTGCCAAGTATGTCCTCCGTCACCTCTCCCCACGTTCATGACAGTTACTGACACTCATTCCCTCAACAGCGCCGGCGCCACCGCCGACTCCGGTGTCATCGACGGCTCCAAGGAGGCCTGGGACCACGTCATCCAGATCGACCTCAACGGCACGGCCTACTGCGCCAAGGCCGTCGGCGCCCACTTCCGCGAGCGCGGCACGGGCTCCTTCGTCATCACGGCCTCCATGTCCGGCCACATCGCCAACTACCCGCAGGAGCAGACCTCGTACAACGTGGCCAAGGCCGGCTGCATCCACATGGCCCGCTCGCTCGCCAACGAGTGGCGCGACTTCGCCCGCGTCAACTCCATCTCCCCGGGCTACATCGACACCGGCCTGTCCGACTTCGTCGCCCAGGAGACCCAGGAGCTGTGGAAGAGCATGATCCCCATGGGCCGCAACGGCGACGCCAAGGAGCTCAAGGGCGCCTACGTCTACCTCGTCTCCGACGCCAGCACCTACACCACCGGTGCCGACATCGTCATTGACGGTGGTTACTGCTGCCGATAGATTTCATTTTAGAGCAAAGCGTTTTGGAATTTTTGGGAGCAACAGGACATGGTGCAGGGTATGAAATGGCTCTGGATATGATGTTATGACTTGTTGGATAAGAAACAGTGAAAATAGTAAAAGTACAATTGGCCCATGGTATTTGCGATTGCATGAAGCTAGTGGTATGTCTGTACTCAGGAGATGTGTGAACACCTTGATGAGTGCAGTCTACGTACGGCCGACAATGATGCATCCTATGTCTCACTCAACTTTGAAATGGTCCAGACCGCCAAACCCCTCAACCACTGCGCGTCATGATGTGAAGATGATGCCATGAATTGCTAGTGCCCCAAGCTCTCACTAGCTCCTCAATAGCTTGTCCATGTCTACTCCACGATGCCCACATCGCCGTTGGAGACGTTCCACCCCCATCCGCTCCACAAGTCTCGACCATGTCTTTTATTCCCTCGATGCTGTCTATCGGTTGAAGTTGCGATTGAATACCGTCTTGGTCGAGTAGAAAAGACTGGCCAAATGCCCAGGGCCGACTCTAGCGGAGAATGTTGCCTCTGAGAGATGCCCTACTGACGGCGGCAGGGCCTCATCGCTGTTCGAAAGATATTTTCTTCTCATCCTGACAATTGCAACATCTCGGCGCAACCCGAGACTCCTCCACAAGCCTCACCACACCGTACGGAAGAAACTCCTTCACCCAGTACGGCATATCGACGCTCCCGGAATCCGGCGGCCCGGCCGAGAGAATACAATACAAGATCATGATGCTGAGCTTGACCCAGACGTAGTTCACCGCCAGCACCGCGGCCCACCACACGCCCCTCGCCTTGACGGGAATGTGAATGAGCAGCCCCTCCGTCGTCCCGAAGAAGAGCCACAGCAGAACGGTGTGTACGAAGATCCTGATACGCGTCGCGGCGCTGATTGAACCGATCAGGCTTGTGACCACGACGACCGCTGCGGCCAGGGGAAGATTGTAGGCGAGACACGGCCCGGTGAAGGATCTGGAATAGAGGCCGGTGTAGTACATCCCTAGCACCCAGTCCACGATCCACATGACGAAGCCCAAGACGGCGAGGATCCGGAGTAGGACGACGTGGGTTATCTTTGGCGGTTGGGTTTTCTGAGTGGCCTTCTCGTTAGAGCACGCGGTGCCTGGATCCGTTGGACGTAGGCTGCGGGTGGCATCGCAGTTCTCAGAGCCGGTCATTTCGTAAGAATTGGCTGTCATTTGTTGGGTTCTCGGAAGGCGAAGAGCGTGCCTCATGAGGAGTATTGTGAATGTTGCAGGCATGTTGGCTCGTATCGGTACGAGATTTGGGAAGATGAGCCTTCTTATAAGTGCGCTGAACGAAGAAACTCTGAGTTTTCGGCGGGTTGTGCTCCAAAAGGTTGTGAAGGTTTGAGGCCACCAGGAAAACCTCATGTTCCTAATCATCTCGCAAGGTAGCGTGACAGGGTTACTCACTTGCTCAGGCCCTCGAACTTGGATCTCTAGGGCCCTCTGTGCCACGAACTTGAACAGCTGGCTCAGGGTGTCTCGTGTATTCGTCCTTGATCATCGTGGCGATTCCATGCGGGAGGAGATCCTTCACCCAAGCGGGCCAACTCGAAATATTGATGTCGTCCTCATCCTGTGGCCCTATTCCGACGAGCCAACTCGCGGCGATGAGAAACGCATACGCCGAGACGACGAACCAAACAAACAGCCACGCGAACGAGTACCAGATTGCGCCCTTATAAAGCAATAATATCGAGGCGGAAATCAAGATCGAACTTGTTAGGTACGTCACAAAGTGAAATACGGTCGCGAACGCGGTCCACTTGAGAAGTCTCTCCGGAGGGACGTGCTCCATGGGGCTCGCGAGGCCGAAGAAGACGAATGTGAAGATGCCGGTGGTCATGAACCCGTTCCAGAATAGGTTGTGGACAGCGGCTTGCCATGTGAAGGCGATGAACCATGGTGCTCCAAATATGAACGCTTGGGCTCTGAAGCGGTTGATGGCTCTCCGTGAAGACGGAGCCGTGATATCTGGAGTCGTTGTGGTCCTTTGGACTCGTTCAGGGGCCGTTGTGCCGCTCGTTCGTCTTGAGGGCGCATCTGCGGGCATTACTTCGAACCGTGGACCGAGCTGGGGGATGATATTGATGCGAGAGTAGAGATGTGTATCTGGCAGAAGGTGGATGAAGTGTTGCGTCTTGTAGTATCAACTGTGAGAAGAATTTTCAGGAAGACGAATCTCGAGGCTGATTATTTCTACCCTGCTAGACCAAATCATCTGTCCCCAGCGATGCCGTGAACTTAGGCGCAAGACCTAGCTTAGGCTACCACGACTCTGCAACTTTGCTGTCTATCTGCAACCTTGCTGTCTATGTTGCCTTTTTCATACCCGTTCCGGTTTGCTGTTGATGAATCAGGCTGCATCTATTTTACACGTTTCGTGACAGACTGTTGCAGAGCTATTCACTGCTATCTCATGGAAACAACTCTGAATCAGAACACATTCATGTAGATATCTGGGAGAGTGAGATCCATGACTGGCATCACATTAATGCTGCCTCCTAGGTCCGTAAATTCAGGCAATGGAGAATTTGAAACAGAGAGAAAAAAGCCCGTCACCGCAAAGGCAGATGGAGGAATCTTGTCCTAAAGAGTTGTCGAAGATGACGGCCAACAACCTACATACCCTTCAGGTCGTGAGCGCCGTCCTCATGGCGTGCATCATATACCACATACTGAGCATCGTACCATTCATACACCCGAGACTTGGGGTATGAACAGAGCTACTATCGACCTAAAACATACTTGGGTCTGGGTGCATGAGGAATTCGGCTTTATGCGACCACAGAGCGGAGCATCCCAGAACCGTGAGCTTCGATCGAAGGACTTGAAAAAATGACTCAACATCGCGAGGATGTCGTATTACTTCTGAATTGTAGATTAGTCGGTATGTCTGGACACGTAATAACAAAATATTAAGGGAAATCATGAGACAAATGTAGCTGGAAGTTTCAACTGTTATAATCTTCGCGGCCGTCGTCTAGGTTCTGTTTTCCACTCATACTCTCAGTCTTCGCCCTCTTCATTGTCATTGTCCCTATCACTATTGCTCGTCGTCGCCGTCTGCAAATTCATCCCTTTGACATTATACTTCATTCGAACACGGAAAACTTGTTTTGGTTTTATTGTCTTACTTTCGCATCTTAGGATCTTGACGCGAAGATGCTGTTACGATGACCCGCTGACAGGAACGAGGTCGATCTTGACAGAGACACCCCCACCGAGATCACCACTGATGGATCGCTTCGACGTACCCGCGGCAGTGTACAACGCTAAACGGATAGACTGCCCAGACTTACGATCTCCTGAAACAGTCTCGACGCGAATAACCCTGGGGTCCTCGAACTGGCGGACAGGCACATCAAAAGCCCACCTCCCACCGTCCTCCCCCTCACCAGGCTGTCCGATAATCCCACCGTAGGCCTTCTTGAACTCGTCGCTGCTCACATCAACCTCAACCGAATGCACTCCCAGAGCGCCACTCGGATGCTTCACGTTCTCCGGCACGTGGTTCGGCACCCTCAACTCGCGCGGGGTCCGGTCGAAGCACCAAAACGGCAACTCGCCCCGCTCCACTTTTCCCTCCGGGCCCGGCAGCGCGACGGCCCACTTCAGCTCCGCGCCGTCCGGCCTGATGCGGCCGCCCGGCACGGGATCGTCGTAGGCGGCCAGGGACTGGGCAGAGCGCACGCGCTCCTGGATCGCGGCGAACCCGGACTCGTCGGCGAGGGAGTAGGCCCAGTCGATGATGGTGCCGTCCGGCTTGGGACCCCACTTGTGCGACAGACGGTCCTCGGGGCTGATGCCCTCGACGAAGGAGATGAGTTCGAGGTACGTGCCGTCGGCGAAGATGACGAGCTTGTTTTCTGTGCGGCCGTCGGCGTGGCGGCCACCGGTTAGGATGGTGAATTCGGAGGAGAGCCAGGACGGGAGGGAGGCGAGGACTTGGTGGGGGAGGAGGATGACGATGTGGTCGAGGAGGGGAGGGTTAGTCTTTGAGGCCATCTTGACGGGTTTGGCGAGGGAGTTTGATTTAAATGACGGAACTTGTGATGTTTATCACTGACTTAGGAGGCGGAATGGTTTCTGCGAGACATTCGACGCATCTTCATCCGGTATTTATCGTTTCTTTCCCCGCGCGCCCCACTATGATACCATTGGAGTCAATCATTGCGACGAGAAGGATGCAGTCCGCTATCGGTGGTCTTCATCATGAAGAAGCAGAGCATTCGTGAAGACAACTTTCACAGCAAGATGAGCTTTGGTAAAATCTAGTCCCAACATCGTGAGTGAATCACGATGGACACTAGAATGCTTCCATCATCCTGGCTCAACACGTGGATCTCACCCCAGACATGTTGAAATGACTTAGTAATCAGGAGCGGGAGGGGTCGTCGCGTGGCTTGAGGGATGTCAGACCAGCCAAGATTGCTTCACCTGCGACATCTGCCATTTCCCCTTCATCATTGCCGATTTGGGGTTGATATCTGACGATTCCGTCCGTCAGGATCAACTACCTCATCCGAGCGTCAGCCCTAGTCACGGAGGATTTCCCAACACAATCATCAAAATCCTCAATCTGTTTGGCGTTGATTGCCCTCAGGGGTCGACCCGTTTGAACACATGCGTCGGTCAGAATGCCGGCCTGCCGAATGCCTCGGGGACGGAGATTCGCTCTGGAAACACAGCACAACGAACGGTATCTTTGAGAAACACAGACGAGCCGTTTCGACTTTTGAATACGAGCCGGCTACACAACACGCATTCGGTGTGTCCAATCTCACAACATGTCGACTGTCACGGACACTTTAAACGCCAACGGGTGTCGGAACCGTTGACTATTAGCACACACGCTAGTTCTAGAGGCCCTCGTGGCTTGCCGGGCTGCCCCTGGATATTGGCCAACGTTCGCGATCTGGTCATCCGTGCTTGCGCCAGGCTCATGCCAGAAGCAAGCTGACAAGAAGACGTCCATGACATTGGATGAAAGAAGTGAGCTCGAGTGAGGCTAAAATGCTGCCGTGTAACGTCTCCCCAGAGTACGACCCAAACATCCCGAAGAAGACCACCAACACCATCGGGCCGAGTGTCGTCGGTCATTCACCGTCGATTGTTGTCTCTTGGCTGAGCTTGTCGCTGAATCTCAGCTGCAGCGCACGACCTGATGATCAAGGGAGATTGATCGTCATCAATCAACACACTGCAAGATTGGCATGGCGCATCGAGGCTGACGCCGTTTGCAGCCATCCCTTGGTAGCAATCTAAGTCAAGCCGCATTTCAATTGCAAACCGTCGAAATGGAACGCTCGACTCGCCGCGCCGGCGGGTCATCCTGCCGCCTCCCGGCCAGCCCGAAACCCCATCGTCTTCTGGCTCCCGCGGCTCACGACTTCTACGCACATCTCCGGCCAAGGCCACCCCAAACGATCCATCAAATCGAATCCCCCACGGCCCCCAATCGCTTGATTTCCACATATTGTGGGCTGTGTGTGCCACCGCCTCAGCATGAAGAAAAAAAACTGCAAGTCCCTTTTGGGCTGCTTGGTGGCATTCGATCTGGGGAATTCGTGGATCCCTGGCCCTGGTGTCCGTACATGAAACTCCCACCGTCTGATGCAGGCCCTCGTCCGACCGGGCTTCGTGGCGCTCGCCGCATGAATCTGTCGCACAGAAACGACCATCAATCGGATGGCATGCTGGGTTTTCTTCGATCGCTCAGCCCGGTTTGTGCACGACTAGAGCCAACATCGTCCACTTATTGCCGTCCCCCCATGGTCGTATGAGTGATGCTATTCTTGGGTGCCACTCGTGAGCAGCGGCGCACTCGACCGGTGTCCCATGGCCATCCCACCGAGGGGTTCAGGAGAGATATGTAATGCGGCTCGCCGCCCTTCCCGTCGCCCAACGTCTTCTGTTCCTCCTTTCGGGAGTTTCTGCTACACCAAGGCCCCCTTTCGCCGTTGCACTTTCGCTTCTTAGCCACGCGCTTTTCTTTTTCATTCTTCGGATTGAATCCCTTCTTTTCTTGGGTACCCTTTTTTCACATTCGCTTCTTCATTCGCTCCGGTTCGAAAATGGTCTCGAAGACATTCACACTTTTGGGGTTGGCGGCGGCGGCGGTCGCCAGGGTGCAGTTCTTGGCAAGTCCGATGATCTTCGAGATATGGGATGATGTCTAATACTAGGGCTGCAGGGAGTCGCGATATCTGGTGGTGACTTCGGCTGTGAGATTGATGTAAGTCATCATGCCAGGACCTGAGATGATCTAGATGCTGATGATTTGCGACAGGGAAGTTGTCCCACAGGCAACGTCCAGCTGCCACTCAGCTCTCTCGGCGGCGGCGATGGAGAGGGTCAGATGAACCATTTCGCAAAGGATGACAGTCTCAACATGTTCCGTCTGCGTATGATACCCCGACGCCACTTCACTCAGTCTCACGACTAACATCAAGAAGCCGTCGGCTGGCAGTTCCTCGTCAACAACCAACTCGGCGGACAGCTCAACTCGGGCAACCTGGGCAAGTACGACCAGGTGATGCAAAAGTGCCTCGCGACCGGCGCGTACTGCATGCTCGACATCCACAACTTCGCGCGATGGAACGGCGGCATCATCGGACAGGGCGGGCCGACGGACGACCAGTTCGTCTCGCTGTGGACGCAGCTGGCGACCAAGTACAAGGACAACGAGAAGGTCGTCTTCGAGCTCATGAACGAGCCCCACGACCTCGACGTCAAGATCTGGGCCGCGACGTGCCAGAAGGTCGTCACCGCGATCCGCCAGGCCGGCGCGACGTCGCAGATGATCCTCCTCCCCGGCACGAACTTCAACTCGGCCGAGTTCCTCGTCAGCAGCGGCAGCGCGGAGGCGTTGACGGCGATCACGAACCCCGACGGGACCACCGACAATTTGATTATCGACATCCACAAGTACCTGGACGAGGACAACAGCGGCACGCACAAGCCGTGCACGACGGATAATGTGGAGAGTTTCAGGACGGTGGCCGAGTTCCTGAGGGCCAAGGGGCGGAGGGGTCTGGTCAGCGAGACGGGGGCTTCGAGCGATTCCTCGGTAGGTTTCAAATGTTCTTTTTTCATGTGTGATCGACGGGCTAACGCGGAACAGTGCTTCACGGCGTTTTGCGCGCAGAACACGTTCATCAACCAGAACTCGGACGTCTTCATTGGTCTCGTCGGATGGGCCGCCGGCAGCTTCGATACTGGTTACGTCCTCAGCTTGACGCCGAAGAAGTCCGGCAACAGCTACACCGACAACGACTTGATGAAGCAGTGCGTCCTCGCGACGTGGAATACCGAGCAGAACGTGACGTCCCCGGAGACGACGGCGTCTAAGCCCGCGGCCTCGGCGACGCCAAGCGTGGCTCCGAGTAAGGCACCGAGTGCGGCTCCGAGCGTCACCCCGAGCAAAGCGCCGAGTGGTGCGCCCAGTGCGGTCCCGACTTCGGCGCCGGCTTCGAGCGACGAGGGCGGCATTCTTCCACCGACGAGCGTCATGACTGTGCCTACTACGCTGTTGATTGATACATCGACGCCTACTATTCCCGTACCGACCGGAGCTCGTGGCAGGAATGGTACGACGACGACGAGCACACCGCTTGCCCCGACCGCTGCTGCTGCCAGGGTTGACGTTGTGGGAAGTTTGTTGGGTGTAGGATTGGTGGCAGCTATGATGCTGTGAGGACGGGGATAGCTTCATGTCCTATAAGCCACGAAAATTAAAAGTAAAAATAAGAAAGGAATTACTTCAGCTTTTACGAACACAAGCTGCTGCTTACGGGGATCAATCCCCGTTTTGATGTGAGAATTCTAGCGAGAACGCAGCAATTCGCGATGGAAAGTGAAATTGCTGCCACAGCGCGCTGTTCAACCCGAAAGGTTCTCACTATTTCGGGCCATCGCCCGATCTTCCGGAGACTTGCTGCGCCGCTGGGCCCGATATGATCGGAAATTGACCCACTTTTACCGATCGCTTTCACCGGCCCGCACCGAATTTCATCATCGGGCCTACCGGGTTTGGTGGCATCAATGCTAAAGGTTTTGGGTTATGCAAGATGAGCGGACACATCCGCCAGATGACGATGAGCGGATACGATCCGCAGTGTGACGACCAAGCGATACGCTCGGCAAGGCTGCACGCAGATTGGCATCTGCCGCTTTGCTTTCCTTGATTAGACCCGCCTGCATGCCCAGAGACGCAGTTTCAACTCAGCTCGTATCTCGTGGCAGGGTTTAGTTCGCAACGTTTACCCTTTACGAGAGCCTTTCCGCCCTACCCTGCTCGATTCGGGAAACATACCCGCAAATCTTGTGCAACCGCACTTCAAGTTGTCTTGGGTTGATGTCAATCATTGGCGTGTTGTGATGAGAATTCCGATACTCCATAGTTTCTGCAAAGATGAGCCGTGGAAAATCTGCTGCTTCGGAACACCACAGCCAGCGACAACTCACAATGCATCGCCATGCGTCTTTGAAGATCTCGAATTGGGAGAAGTGAGGGGTTGGGCACGCACGCTGTCGGAATAAACACTGCCCATCTCTGAAGAGTACAGATGGAGTTCCCCTAGGACTTACTCAACAACAACCAAGCAACTACTAGTAGTTTTCAGACACGATTTCAGTTAACAAACGAACTTCTATCATCAATTCCACGTTTCTCATAGACGACCATGTCTGAAATCAAGGTAGGCTCCGCAGCCAGGAGGTCACTGGCAAATAACTGCTGACATTTTTACCACCCAGAACTGTACTTCCGTTCCCGAGGGAGATATCGAGGGGGCTTTCGGAAGGAACGGTCCTGCCTCCTTTGGGGACGAAGGTCTCACGGCAACTGCCAACGCGTACGGCAACCTCATTCATATCACGCGCTATACTGGCGGAGATCCCTGCGACCAGTCAAAATTCATCTGCGCCGATTTCGCCCAAAGTACAGAGCATTCCCAGAATGCGCAGCACGCTGATTCCGACCCAGAGCTGAGGCACCTACACCTGCTTAATCGTATGTCGACTGCTCCTCAGACCGGATGTCGTCTCGGCACTCTCTATTCTGAAGGAGCCGATGTTCGTGACAGCCAAGTGCCTCAAATGCTGTTCCTGCACAACCGGTGGCCACTCTTCAAGATCAAGACTAATAGCGGTTTCTTGAACGTTCAATACTTCATCCACAATGGCGTGGTTTACCAGCGGTACACACATGAGGTTTGCAAATCACAAAAGAATGAAGGGCCTGCTGCAATGGCTCTGCGTGGTCAGATTCGCCTTCTGGGTATAGACTTTGCGGATGAAGCCAATGGCATTGTCCCGCACTTGTATGCGAAACATTTGTCTCCATACCGACCAAGGGACAGCGATTCAGCCAGTAATGCTTCGTCTGATACGTCAACAGACGATGGCATGGAATCCGATGACGGGATCTCCGTTTTCGATGTTCTGAAAAATACACCAGCGAGCTCCGAGTCGACCGCAAGCGTTCCGATATGGCTGTTTGTAGGCGACCGCCAACATTCTTTCTCCATCCAACAAAGCGGACGCAGTATCAGTGTGGACAATCTCTTTTGGGATGAAGCTCTCAGTGCCGGTCAACTGGATCTCACCTTGGCGTATGCACTGAGAGCTGAATCCAGCGAGGAGATTCTTGATATCTCCCGTGATGACATGTTATATGTCAAGACTCAACTTTCAAAGCATTTCGAAGCTCCACGAATCGTTGAAGACCAGAATCTGAACTTTGTGATTCTGCGGAACGTTGAGCATATCTTGTCTGTCTGCAGCATCGCTGTCTTCCACCAAGACAAAGTCTCGGCTAATTGGCCGAGAAGACACTCAGAGGTGGAATCACAGAGGCCCCCTCCAGTTGTTCTCACGTGTGGGGATGTTGCGCGCCATCGTGTGGTCACTCAAGCAAGTTTGTAAGTGTATAGGTCCAAAAGTACACAAGCGTCTAGTGTTAATAGAAAACAGCCATTCTTTCCGACTTTTGCTCTGGGCATTGGACAAATTTAAAACACATGCGGAAAAGGAAGAGGCAAACAGAAAGAATTGCATGTGGAAGCTGGCTTCAGTTGATGAGACTGACTCTTGCGTGAACAGCATTTACTGCAAACGGATCTCAGCTGTGTGTTCAGGTCATATCGAGTGGCTGTGTCACTACTGGCCAACCAACATAAAAGTTGAGAAGGAGAATGGGAGCGAAACGATAGAAAAAGAAAAAGAAGAGGAGAGTAAGAATGATCGAAAACTTCAGGTCAACTATAAAGAAAACGCGCAAAAGGAGGATGATGCCGGTGTTCATGTTGGCATCGATATGGCTCTCCAAATCATCAAACTGGGCGAAATCGCTGATTCCACGGCGGCAACAACTAGCAATACCGGCTCTGCCAAACGCCTGGTCAAATCCTGGCTGGAGGGTCTTAGCAAAACGAAAAGAGATGGCCTGCCCATGATATCTCGTTCAGAGAATGAGCTGAAAAGATTTGACTTGGTTGATCATGCCCTTGTCTGGTGGGCTATGAGATCAGTGGAGAAGCTCGGCTGGAACCCAACACTTAGCTACGACCCTTTGAAGAAGCCCGAGAAGCAAATCTCACCACAGGAGTTCCAGGAATCGATTCTCAAAAGGTTCACCACTGAAAATACGACCATAAAAACTAGGATGCTCGCAAGGTCCCGGTCTCTAGTGGAAATGGACTTCATTCTGGGCCCAAAGGATACCACCCTTTTCAACGCAGACAGGTGTGGGTTTTTTACCAAAGCTTCGTCATACACCAGTTCTGCATGGAAAAACACTTTGGATTGTCAAAAGTACAGCGATGACAACGAAGAATCCGAATGGAACCGTCCCCTGGACTTCGGCTTGGCAGTAATCCTGTGCTCTCTGAAAATAGCGGTCAAGTCGTCGGAGGAGCCCGCCACAATGTACAAGAGTATGCTTGCAACTCTATTTAAACAATCATCGCCAAACGGACTTTCGGCAGGACAATTCGGCTGGTTCAAAGAAGATATTTTTTCTATGAACGAACAAAAGCACGACTCCTACTGGTCTACCCAATTCGAAATACCATACATCCTATCGGCGTTCCCAAGTTCCAAACCGGAAAATGGCACGGCCGATGATCTTTCAAAGGTCAGCAATCTTTTGGAGCGCTCTCTGGACAAACGAAAAGCCGAGAGCAAGGAAGACGTGGTTATGAAACAACGGCTGCCATTTGGTGATTACATTGGCTTGAAACACATTGTCGAGCTTCGCGACAGATGGCTTTACGATGAACCAAAGTTCCTCAATTCTCAACCAACAATTCCAGAGATCTCGGTGAAGGCGTTTAGGAAGCTATTCAAAGATGAGAAGAATATCTTTTTCAAGGCTACCATTGTTCAGGCATGCATTGACCAACTCGCGGCGCTCGAGGTGCGCAGGTCGGAACCGCGACGGGCGTTGGACCCGGACCTCGAGTTGGGACCGGGCCTTGACCGCCTTGCATGCATAGTGAGCGATGTTGGAGGTGCAGACGTTTTGTTCAAGTCAAAGCAGAATAACTCGGAGGGTGTCCAATCGATCATGCAACATCCTCATGGCACACAGAGAGATTACGAGAAGGAACACGTGAAGACCTTGGATCAACTACGGGAACGTCTCATCATTCCACGCAGCCGCGATTACTCCAAAAAGAGACTTCTGCAGTTCTACCATATCGAACCAACGGCAGCACTAGTTTGCTGTCTAGCGTCGCCGGTAGGTGACATGGTACATTTAGCGAACTTTTTTCGGCGCCATGTCCAATACGAGACATACCATTTCGACGAAGCCGTGAAGATTACGAATAGTTGGATTACTGAGGTCCACCTGTCCTTTTGGGTACTTGGGAAGAGAAGTGACCGCCAGGAACACGCGAGTTCCTCATCAGCAAATTCGAATTTTGCCAAAGAAGACTGGACTGACTTCCCTCACGCAAAACCCAAGCCCAACCAAACCCGGAAAAAAGCCAACAATGGTAGCTCCAGCAGGAAGTGTGTTCAGCGGGCTTCAGTAAGCTTCAGATTCGACGGTGACTTCCTTGATCGGTACTGGACTTGCCACTTCATACAGCACCGCAATGTTCAGAAACAAGAAACAACAAATGCCGAGGCAGGCGAGACAGGCGAGAGAGATAGTACAAAGAGTGTGGCTGGTTCAAACAAGGAACCTTCACCAAAGTTCGCAACCTTCGACATTAGGTGTCAGCGCGGTTTGAAGCATAAGTGGGAGCAAAGGAGAGTTTTGGAACTTGTTCTCCTTCACAGAGCTCTGGAGCTCATTGTGGATGCAGCCGCAGAGCTTCTGAAAGAGGCAAAAACGACCGTGCAGAACTCTTTCTTGTCGGACAAAGAGAGTCAATCGTCACCTTCGTCCTCGTCGAAGCCTTCATCGTCGCCACCTTCGTCGTCGAAAGACTCAGATTTGAATCGTGGAATACTTGCTGAAACACTCGACCTGCTTCAGACTGAAAGTAGTGATGACTACGTGTCTGCCAGCAACCTGTGCCACAAGGTTCAATATCTTCTTCGGGTACTGCAGGAAAACCTGGCAGAGAACCTTAAGATAACTCAGCAATGGTCGGATCGAGAGAATAAGCGGGAATGTCCACAATGGACTAAAAAGGATGAGCACAGGTACCGAAGAGAGATTTCCAAGTGGCAGACCTTGAACGACCAAAAGGTTCTCGAGCTGCAGAAACGCCATGATCAGATCAGGTCATACAACGATTTATTAACGAGAAAGCTCGAAGACATCCGCACAGAGCTTGAAATTCGGGGAAGTGACGGAATCCGCCTGTTTACGTACATTACAGTTGTTTTTGTTCCTATTGGCTTTGGCATGGGATTGTTTAGTATGAGCGAGGTGCCTTCTGTCTTCGCACTCGTCTGTATGATTGGGGCCAGTCTTGTTACTTTGCTGTTGACAGTTGTCGTATTGGCGAAGGCAAAGGTTCTTGAGAGCGAGCTCAAGGAGCCTATCAAGCTGTTTGCACGTTTCTTCGCCTTCGTCTGGCGTTGGAGTCCGTTTGGTTTGCTTTGGAGGCCATTGAAAGAAATGTTCAAATGGCTTTCAAAAAAACCGGAACTCGGAGAGGAAAAGTCTCCTTGTTAGTAGATCCTTCAAGGTTTTCTTAGTTATGTTTCATCAGTCAGTCTAGAATGAATTACTCCTGCGCTACAGAATAGCTTGTTATATGTAGTTTGATTGAGATTCTCAGAAGAATTTGGTGTTAGACGCGAGTATTGCAGTGTTATTTATGGCAGCCTGGACTGTTGGCTCTCACAACTGTAGAATATGGACTGGAATCGGCCCCAATCTCGGATGTCTACAGTCCCGCCTATACTAAATTTTTGCACGGCGCCTAAGAGGACGCAGCAATTTGAACCTCCTACGTTGCTTCCATTTTCGTAACAGTCTGAAGGTAAGTACTAAATGGCTCGACGCAGTCTCATCACTAGAAACAACTGATCGATTGCAACATCCCACGCAATACGATGCGGCAGCCCTTATTTTATGCTTTATTCAACATGTGGCTATACCAAACGAGTACAAATTTAGGTAAAGGCTTCTTTATATGTCGCCCGCTCAAGCTTTATTCATCATATCTATTAGGGTTATTAAGTTATTGAAACCTTAATAATAAGAATGAGGCTATTAGTAACGTTTTATTTCATTAGAGTTTCTACCTTATTAAATATATATCTTAATATATAGGTATTATTTAGGTAATTATATTATATATATATAATAGGGTTAGGGATATAGATAGAAAAATGAGAAATCTCGTTGAGAGCCTTAGTGTTTCCTGATCGGAAGTTACCTCGGCTCCTGCATCCTGGACACGGTAGCCATCTCATTTCCGTCAACGGCGTCACTCGCCTTCGGGGCGTAAGCATTCGACAATCGCCAACAGCTGAGAGGGAGGCGTAACCCATGGATAGTATCTTTAGTCTGAACACGACCAGAACTTCATTGTCAACATTGCCAAGTTGCTTGCTTCGGATGCTGAAGCACGTGCATCTCCAGCTCGGAATCACTCTCATCCGCAGGCTTTACATATAATGGTGCTCAAAGCTATCCGTATTACCAGCATTAGCACGTCTTTTTCTTTTTCCTACTTTCCTTTAGCTTACAAGCCCCTACTAATGTCTGCGTCGACCCAAAGACCCCCAACCCACCCCACGATGCTGAGAATTCCAGCAAGACTGATCAACACAACCCATGTATTGTCTGTGATATACGTTCCCATAGAAAGTACCCGGGTCGAGTCTGTAAATCCACTTGTATATGCCTTCAGGGTTCAATCGGACTTCCTTGGTGTTTGACCTAATTTCTTTAGGGAAAATCTTTTTACAGAAATGAAGTCTTGAAATGGTAATGCTGTTGGCTTGAACGGCCCATAGATATTCTGAGGAACAGTGATTGCAATAGATTTTGTGCAGAAAGCTCGTCCCTCGTCTGGATTTCTTCAGTACCATGAAGCTACCTACCGCGTCGGGCCGACTTCGCGCATTGCACGCACAGCAATCGGAGTTATCGTCCTTGTTATACTTGTGCCGATAGCACTCTTGATTTTCAGGCATCGAGTCTCGAAAACAAACACAGCGTTCCCACTCAAACGGTATCATGAGCTTTGGGTCGCGGAATGTCATATGGTGGCAGAGAAATCGGTTTCCGAATCGCGCTTCCAGGCTTTCGAGACCTTGTCGCATGAGGTCCTTCGTAACAACTTGACCCTCAGCTAGCTGGCAGACTTGCATTGTCCACTTCAGAAACAGATTTGGATCACTTTCTGCGGTGACCCGCGACACAAATAGGGCTGGACACTTCTCCCCTTGGTCGGCTCGGAATTCCACCTCGCACTCGGGACATGGAAGAGGTACTGCTCGTTTCCCTTCCAACGCATTGAATGTGTCGCGGAGAGATATCTGGCGATGAGGGCATACCTTCATCCTTCCCTCCCAACCAATGCATACCGGGCGGTCTCGGCCAAGCTGGGTCTCGGAAAAGAACGTCATCGAGTGCTTCACCCCACAAGCCACACAAAAAAGCTCTTCCCTCCGGCATAGATGGTCGGCTGAATGTTGCCATGGGGCTGCCGCGGGGATAGCTGCTAAGCAAGACTGACAAAGAAAGTCTCGCTTCATAAGCTTGACTATTTCCATGGCACCTTCCACAGAAAGCTGATGACGATTGAATTCGATGATGGGTCGAAATGTGTTCTCTGAATTTTGGTGGTGGAGGTGGATGGCCCAATAAGCTCTGTTTGGCAGTGTCGGTGCTCCCCAAAACAGTAATGTATCACTCGGATGCTGACGATTTGGTCCTGAATTAGGCCTGTGGAAGCCCAAGAACGTGTGGTGTGCGAAAGCCATCAGAAATACCGCACTGGTTTGTCTTAAAATGTACAAGTCAGTAGGACCGAGGTAGGACATTACTTTGATGTGTAATTCCGTCGGCAGTCGATACAAGGGACTGTTTCTCGCATTGTCGGTACGTCGTTGTTGGTAGGCCGAGGAGCAACCAGTGCGGTACGGGATAGGAGAGTTGCTGTTGTTCTTTGACGGCTTTCGATTGAACGGGTTGAAAATGTCAAGCCATCATGGACTCATCGCGAAGGAAAGGCGCGATGCGGAAGAACGGGGAAACTCAACCAATGCTTTCAAAAAAGAACTATCGTAACTTGATATGGGCGTGTTAAAAGCAAAAGGCCAGAATTAAATAGAAGCTTAAGTTTCCGTATTTTAAATGATGAAGAAAAAGCAGTCATAGACTTCCAACCTTGATAGTTGTCAGGCGAGTGGCAATGACTTCACATTGACCTTTGAGGCCGTAGAGGTGGAGTACGATAATAGACGAACCTGGTCATCTGGCCTCGCCCAAAAAGACCTTGAATGCACCGCTATTGGCCGCCTACGTCCGCCGTTAGTAGACAGCTCTTTATCGCCGATAACCATGCCATGATTTCATCAATGCGAAGCTGCTCTCAACGGCGATGATGGGCAGCGGCAGCAGCAAATCAACATCAGAAACTTTGTCGAGGGGCCAACCCAGTCAAGGTAGACATGCCGTCAGATGATGAAGAACTGGCATGTGAGCCGTATCAAATCTATTTACTATCATATAATAGATCTCAGGGAGTCTTTTGTGCGCTCGGGTAATGCAACTCTTGTATCGAGCAGCTTATAATTTCGTAAGGATGTATAAGCTCTTGCAGAGAGTTGTCTTTCCCGGGTCTCCCAATCCAGCGGATAACAGGCATAAAACAATTGCAAAATACACATAGACGTGCTGGTGTCCAATGCTTAGGTCGTCATCTCATCTGCCATTTTGTGAAGCTCCCATGCTATCCCAGTCCCGCTGCCACGCCTCAAGGTTCCGCTGTGTCTTCTTCTTTCTCTTTGTTGTAGTTTTACCGCGAGCAAGGTTTTCGGTGACGGTTGGGGCGCTGGCGATGTATTCATCCAGCATTACGGCAGCTGTATTGCTCCTGCCACTATCTCGTTGGTAAGTAAGGTAAGCAAAGGCTCAAGACTACGTGATAAGGAGATCCACTGACCACGCGGTGCCGGTAGTGGCTGCTGAAGTGTTTGAATTGGATGGCATTATTCTCTGGATATTCGAGCCTTTTCAGATAGGGCTCGTAGGAAATGTGCCAGTGAAGTTTAAAATCTAGTAACCCAAGGATGTCAAAGCAATGAAATGGTATTAATATAACTAAATGGAGTCCACAGATCACTAGCATCTTTCCCAAAAGGCTTTTTATTTACTTTAACCAACACCGCAATTTACCAATTAACACAATGAGCCCATTTTTCATTATATTGTGGCATTAGTACGGAGGGTCAAATAACACTGAACGGTCAACATCACCATGTCACACTGGTACACCAGGTACCAAACACAACATGGCGCAGAACACAGAATCCTAGAACTGGGGATGAAAAACACAGCTGTGTCATTCGATTTGATTGGTGGTTTTGTGTCTCTCATTATTGGGGGAAAAATGGGGGCGCCCTCCAATGTGCCTCTCCAGTCGTCGCCTCTTAGGCACCAGTGCTTATCTTTGTCGCAGGCAGGCCATCTTCTTAGCTTTTCCTTCTTTCAACATCGCGAAGCTCGCAGCAGCTAGTGGCCAAACAACGGTATGGTAACCACGACTTGATATAGAGTCCGATGTCGCTAACCACTTTTGCCCTAGGTGCCATGGATCCCGTCGTCGGCCTCAGGCCGTCTCATCCTCACGTTCTAAATCGTGAAATCAACGACAATGCCGAAAAGGACGAAGAAATGTCCTTACGTACGGCGACATTTGAATACAAATTTGCATGCCCCTTTCGGAAGCATAACCCTGCCAGGCATGTTGGGTGTATGAAAGTGCCCTTACCACACATCAGAGACGTCAAAGACCATTTGGCAAGACATCATACCCCCAAATCCTACTGCCAGCAATGCTTCATGATATTTCAGACGGAAGACTTATTGAAAGAGCACGTTGGTCACAGTAAGAACACCCAATGCGAACATCCGCCCGGAGACAAGGACTATGTCTCGCAAGAACAAGCGCAACAGCTGGCTAGGGATCCAAACGCAAACGCGAGCCTGGAACAACAGTGGCTGCGCATCTGGAACATTATATTCCCAGCATCTCCGGAACCACAAACAATAACTGAGGACGACGGACTCTTATACACTCCTACGGCTATCCCTCGCACTCCAACCTTTGCTTCTTCGACGTTCCCCGCTGGTAACACTCTTCCTCTGATACCTCTACCACTCAAAAGGAAACGCGTTTCGAAGGCAAAGGTAAGATCGGGCTGCATCACCTGCTTGATCCGGCGGGTCAAGTGCGACGAGGGAAAGCCTACATGTCATCGGTGTGCGAAGGCCGATATCAAGTGCGACGGCTATGTCAAGCGGGTCACAGAAGTGCGGGCCGCTGAGAGGACTCCAGTAATGCGCGCGGCGCGAATGATTCTCCCCCGCCCGGACCCAACACCAATGGGCGGCTCTGGATATTCCAGTATCAATTCACAGCTTTGCCAGAGCACTCTTTTGAACCCGCGCAACTCTCCCGCTGATCTTCTTCAAAACATTGAGGTTCTTAGAAATGTAAGCTAGAACGCCGATGAGACCATTGTGGTGCGTCAGCACTAACTTAGCTCCGAGGTATGCCGAGGTTTTCAAATCGAGTTCGGCCATCATCGCGACCGAGGGATTCGGATATCTCTCCCAAACACACTGTTTGAGCTGCTCAAAGCGTTACCAAACGGAAACGAATCTGAATCACTGAGTTCGCGAAATCTGAAAGTCAGGTGGTTGTCATCCAGGCATAGAGGGCGAGTGCTGTTCAGAAAGAATTTGTCTCTTTTATATTCGTTCAACTAACCCCTCTGTAGAGAAACTATCCATAAAATCCCAAGACGTGCTCTTGCATTTGGAACCGGTAGTGTGAATGAGAGGGTCGGAGGAAGCAAAATGTCCATGGAAGAGAAGATGTCGTTATGGGATAACCAAGGTAAGTCCTGGTTCACCTTATATCCATCATCATTTCTAACGTGTCCGAAACAAAGGTGCGAGCCTTGACATATCGTTTGGTAGTTTCCCCGACTTGATTCGTGCCTCCTCTTTGGCTGCAGCTTCCTTCGCATGCAAAGAAGTTGAAATAGAGGAACTTTCAGATGGCACTGAGTATTCACTGGCTTTGGCCGAATGCAGCGGCGTTTCCACAGAAGAAGACCTTCTTCAAGACCGAACTCAACCAGATATAGCCAATATTGGACTGGCAGAGTGTTCAGAATCGTCCTTCGATTCTAATTGGCTGGCTCCATCTGAGTCGTCTGAATCGATGGAGTCTTGGGACGATGACAGTCCGATTCCCGCCACTTTAGAGGTCGTGATCAATCAAATCATGATTTCTCGCACAGCTTCAGGGTTCAGGTCTGCTGCTGGAGATCAGGCCTCTACGGATAGTTGTGCAAATGCTAGCACAGCGTTGTTCTTATCGTCTGAACCATCGGAAACCTCTTCCTCAGGAAGAAATACTACGAAACGAAAGCGATATCGAGACGACGATCCGGGATCTGATGAAGAAGGACGAGAGAAACGAAACCCTAAATCGTCAAAGTCAGAATCCGGTTTGCCCCGATCATTTGCTTGTCCATTTTGGCTGCTCGAACCCAGGAAGCATACCAGATGCATCAAGTACAAGTTATCCAGAATCGGGGATGTGAAACAGCATCTCAACAGAAAGCATATGCTTCATTTCTACTGCAGATGCTGCTTAGCGGTCTTTCCTGACAAACGGCACCTTGACGAACACACTCCGCGAGCAGACAGCTTCGATTGCCAGCTTGCACCTCCTGGTAGAAATCTTCACTTTGAGGGAATTCTACCTGAGGTCTCGAAGAGTCTGTCGAGAAAATCAAAAGAACCCCGAACTGAAGATCAGTGGTTTGCCATCTGGAGCATATTGTTCCCTGGTCAGCCGCGACCCTTATCTCCATACCTAGACGTTTCTCTCTCTGAAGAAATATCTCTGCTAAGAAGAGAGGTTTGCTTGAACGGGGGCGGAATGATCCTGCAGGAGCTACAGAGAACCAAAATGGTGGAGAAACTTTCTCCTGGAGACAAGCGTGACTTGCGCAAAACCTTCGACCAGGCCACCGAGCTGATGTTCGAGGAATGCTGCATTCGCCTCTTTGCGAATTCGGAACTCGGAAATCACAGACAGGGTGGCATGGAAAGTCGTCTGTACTCCAATTCAGAACCGAGATATCCTGGAGCACCTGCTGGATCGTTTACTGACAGCGTTATCGGCAAGGAAACACTGCCCATTACCTCTTGCAGGCAAACGGTGGACCTGGCGTTGCTTACCAGCACGCAGAGGCAGAGGCATCAGCCGCAATATAATGTACTACAACCAGCCAATGATGAAGTGAGGCTGGTAACAGCGCCAGAGAAAGACGAAGTTCACTTCAGCGATGGTAAAGCATACAGACCGGGCTTCACAGACGGTATGCAGCATATCCAGACAGGATATTCCGGGGTCGACATCCAAACAGGCCTCACGCCGGACGATGAATCAGAGGAGTCTATGGAGGCCCAACTATACAAGGGCCCTCTACCAAACAGCACAAGTGGAGATACGGAAGTGCTTATAGATTGGAATGAATATGCTGGCAGCGATGAGCCATTCTTGGGGTTTCTAGATGTTGCGGAGGAAGGCTGCCAGCGAACTGATGAATCACAGACTCAACTGGAATACCCCGGGGTTTTGGAACTTTTGTAACTCCAGTCTAAATTTGTCGATCATGGGGAAATGGTTCACATGATGTTTGGATGGATCTATAAATCAATTTGAGGGATGTGAAATTACTACGGAAAGCTCGAAGATTGTTTCAAGAAAGGTTGGCGAAGGTCAAGATGGGAAGATGCTGTTACCCACCACAATCTCAAGGGCACTTCTTGGGTCAAAGATCTAAGATGCGCAAAATGAATCCTAGGTTCATATTCATAGTTACAACGCGTTTCCCAAATTTCTAGCCTGGGTTTCTCTATTAATATAACACGCCATGAAGCTACTGCTACGATTCTGCCTCTCCGATCCTGCATGCGCTGTCGCTGTCTTCTTCGTCCAGTGCTGCGTCGTTCGCCGTGTGCCACGAATCTTCCGATCCGTCGTCACTCATCACCTCTTCACTCGCTGCCATTCGTCGGGCATTGCTCCACTGTATATCAGCGTTAGCGGTTTCTAAAGCGGGGGAAACTCGGATCGCAAAACGTACTTTCTCCTGCTGGTATTGCTTCTCTTCCCATACGGTCCTCTCAAACGGGATGTCAAGCATCGCATGTACCATCTTCCAAGCGACTTCATATACCTCAATCTCCTTATCCACAATCCGCACCTGGGCAGTGTTTTCTCCAAGAGCCTCTCGTTTGTAGTATAGTGGTTCGAGCGTCTCCCGAAGCTGTTCGAGGCTTTCGTCCACCCAATTATCTCTGATAGTCTTGTCGAGAAATCGCGGAAAGGCCTCTGTGGCAAGGCCAAAATGAAGGGATCTTATAGATTCCCACATCCTGTCATTGTCGCCCTCCTGTCGATTGCTGCATACAGGTAGCGGATCATCCTCAATGAGATCGTCGATCTCATTCGATTCTAGATTCGCGTAGTATGCAATAACATCTTCGTAGAAGCTAGGTCTTAGCTCCTTGTTATCGTCTAGGTACTTGGAAGCTTCTGCTTTAGACCTCTCATTATCAATGCGGATGTATCTGTGTCCGTGGTAGAAGAATGGAGCTGGGTTGTAGTTGGGCCGGAATCCATCATAAACTTCATTCAGCCCACGCACAATGGCCTCAATAGCTGTGCCCTGCTTCTCTTGCTCCAAGGAGCTTAACTCGTCAGCAGGAGACCATCGGAACTTTTTTATAGTTTCAAGGAGAAGCACGAATTCGCGTGTATACACAGGCAAGTAATCCAGAAACGTTTCTCCTTGCAGACTTGGGTCGAAGGCAAATTGCCTGTACACGCTCAAAACCGCACCGATCCAATGTGCCGCGAGTGTGACCGAGCGTAAGCACTTTGATATGTTCTTCCCGTCATCGTGTTTGAAAATCTCCATGACCTTCAGGACACGTAAGACTGCAAGTTCAAGCTCCTTCAATAAGAGTATGTTCACTGGCAATGAGCCGGCCTCAGCTGATGATTGAAGGTAGCTTTCATGACAGGAGGGGCAAAGTGCCTGCGCCGTCCCATACTTCAGGCAGATGAAGAAGCTCTGTGATTCGATACCTCGGCGGCAAAACCTGCAGTTGATTGTATATGTTTTATCGTGCAGACGTTCTGCCAGGGCTTGTTGAAGATATGTGAGGCTCGTCTTTGACCGGAAAAGCAACATCGCATACGTAAGGATATCCAGTAAATGGATGGAATCTTGCTTTGCTCCATCACTCTGAGAACCCTTTTTGGAAATGATTTGTTCCGATGTGTTCACAATGGTGTGCTGTAAGATCGCCAACTGTGTACTTCTGTCCAGCGGCCTGTAATCGGATAGATGAAGTTGGGGAAAGTCCTTGGACCAGCCATTCTCCAAGAAGTAATCAGCGGCACAAAATCCGAAAACGTCTCTCAGATATGGATCTGCCCCATGCTCCAGAAGAAACTCCACTGCTTGCTTTTGATCACCCAGAGCGGCAACAATCAGGGATGTGCGCTGGTAGTTGGCATCTACAATGCGATCTACCTCCACGTCTGCCCCGCGGTTGATGAGCTCCCTGGCAACGTCCATAAAACCGGAAGTTATAGCTATTTCGAGTGGAGTTTGCAGGCTGTGGGATGCTCCGCTGATAGATAAACCATGGTTGGCAAGAACCATGATCGCCTCCAATCTGCCACCTCGAGCAGCCCAGCACATGGCATCTAGTCCGTCCTCGTCCACTTCCAGGGCTAGCTCAGGTGATGCCTTGAGAAGCAGCTCTAAAATTCGAGTTGAAGCCCCTCCGGCAGCAAGGTGTATGCAAGTTGTACCGTTAGCACCTCGTAGGCTACTTGCTTTCGGGTCCTTGGCTAGGAGGAGATCAACCACTTCAAGCCGGCCATACTCCACGGCAGCCATGAGCGGCGTGTAACCATCGAATCTCCGGATGGACGTATTAGAGCCACAGTCTAAGAGCTGTTCAACAAGGGCGACGTCTCCTATGTACGCAGCGTAGTGAAGCGGCGTTTCTTGATTAACATCTGAGGTTATGCAATCGGCTCCAAGCTCAATGAGGTATTCTGCGACTTTTGTGTGCCAGTGCTTCAATGAAACAATAACAGCTGTCTCTCCAGTCTCTTGAGATCTCTTATCCGTATCAGCACCATTTTGTACAAGATATTGTACGATGGGAAGATAACCGCATTGGCAAGCCAGCATGAGAGGAGTCATTCCGGCTGAGTCTTCGGCATTGATGGTTTCTGGAGCCGACAAGAGCTTGGCGCATTCTAATTCTCCTGCATAAGATGCGTGGTGAATGGGCAATGTCAGATTATGATGATCCCGGACGAACGCAGCGGATGGTTTATCTTTCAACAGCCACTCAACCAAATCCGCAGACCCGGAAGAGGCGGCGCCATGCAAAGCCGTTGGTCCGTGGCTAGCAGGCGAGTAAATGTCCAGGTCGGGAATGGCATCGATGAGTCTGTGAAAGAAATCACTCTGTTTTTTCAACGCTGCGTCGTAAAGTAACCGAATTCCGCCATCTTTCAAACTCAACAAGCTACCAGGAGAGGCCAGTTCGAAAATTCGTGACCAGCCTATCTCAGACGCAACGAAAAAGTCATCTTCCACTGCATCCACGCCGTGTGTAGTCATAAGAAGCTCTGCGACCTCATAACAGCCTCCTGCTATAGCGCTCCAGAGCGGTGTCAAGCCACTGTCAGGCTGGTCGGGTACATCGGGTTGTGCCCCATGCTGAAGAAGGAGTTTGGCGGATGCAGAATGTTGACTGCTCAAGGCTGAAAGCAGAGGGGTACCGCCTTGCTGGGGTCGCGCATTTACGAAATGCGAATCTGAGCATCTGGCAAGAAGAGTTCTGACAACTTCGGTATGGCCTTGTCCAGCAGCTAGATGGAGTCCATTCTACCCGGTCGAATTTGTGGCTTCAATATTTGCGCCATGATCGAGAAGTGCTGCGACAACATCTGAGCTTCCTTGCACACATGCTGACAACAGTGCGGCAAGACTTCTATTGTTTTTGTGTTCTAGAATGTTGTTTTGAAGTTGGGTTGTTTCTGGGGCGTTGTTCTGGGGTTGTTGGTTTTCTGACGAGCGCTGTTCTTTGTAGTACCTCTGCGTTGTGGACACTGCTGCGGCCAGTCTACTCACGATTTCGACATTCTTGGAGGAAACCGCCCTGTTCAAGGGTGTGTCACCACTATCATCCAGGGCGGTCGGGTCTGCGCCCGCGTTCAAAAGGACTTCGGCTGCACTTGTTGCTCCGAAAAAGGCAGCATAATGCAGAGGTGTACTAGCATGGTTGTCCGCCACGCGGCAGTCGCAGCCAAATGAGAGCAGCAATGAGATCCCTTCGTCCCAATCGCGCGTGGCAAACATATGTAAGAAGCTGAACTCGTCATCCCGCAAGAGATGACGGATGAGTTTGTTTCTTTCGAAGTGAGCGTCATAACAGTGCAAAAGCCACATAGCCATCTCCTTGTTCTCTCTGAAAGTGGCGTAGTGTATAGGACAGAGGAGAGCACGATCCGGGCAGGCAATTAGATGCTCTGAGTCTGTTAACGATTTTGCCAGATCAGTCAAGTTGTGAGCGGCGAAAATGTGAAGCGCTGTCGGTGCCCCAGGTGGCTGGCTGAGGTAAGGGAAGGAGATTCTGCGGAAAATGACCTGCAAAGACAAGCTCATAGCTGCTTCAGTTCTTAGGAAGGTCTGGAGCAGCTGTTGAATCAGGATGCCGTCATCTCGATTCTCGCTTGCGATTGAGAAATGATGTCCCCAATTCCTGGATGCATATTGAAGCAGCGGGAAGCCTTTCATCACACTCTTCAACTCCTTCTCGGAGTTGACATATGTCGAGCCAAAGATGTCGAAGTTGAGGTAGGTGAGACAGACTTCGGCAATTCGTTCATCTGCGTTGCGTTGCAAAGCATCGTATCCTGGTATGGTCTGATACTCGGCCACCAAGAAATCTTTCAACGAAGGATGGTAAAGGTGGAATGTCCCATCTTTCTCGAAGATGAGATCAGCGCATTCAGTGCAAAGTGGGATGCTGCTAGAGAGACGTTGGCGGACGGTAAGCCCTCTCCGGCCACGTTTAACAGACAAAGCCTCTATCAATTCAGCCTTGAACAACGGCCTCCGGGAATTCGTTATCCACAGAAGGGCATTCATAGCTCTTTCTCTGATGAATCGGGAAGGTTTGGCCAAGATTCTCTGGATATCTTGTCGGTAGAGGTCATCAAGACCTTCCGTTGCGTTTTCCATCGCGTTGCTCATGTCTTCAATGCTGCCTATCTCTTTGAGATGGCTCAGCTTACGGTCAGGCCACAAAAATGTCCCCGTTGAGTTTTTCAGCAGTTGCTCTTTGATACCCTGAAACTCAATTCTCTCGTCTTCGGAAGGGTCCCTAAGAACCTCTTCAACTTTCTGCGAGATGTAGTGTTCGAGATCAGGCAAGTTCGCCCCGTCGTCCACTTGAATTCGCGGGAAGCCGGCGACGATTCTATCGATCTCTGCATAAGATGGCCGACTGAGTACGAGAATCTTTGTTGAACGAGAGAGCGGAGTCGTCAGCTCTAGTATGAAGCCACAAAATTCCTTGAAGTGATCGTCTTCCCATCCGTGGCATTCATCCAGCCCATCAATGACAATATACGAAGTTTGAAACTTGGAGAGTGCCTGAGCAATCCCGTTCCTCATTTCTCTTCGCGTTGGACCGCTGCCTTCTCCGTAATCTTGCCTCGAAATGAGGTGCCCGAGATCTTCGGTAAGAGGGAGCTGCCTGCAGAGCTGTGCCAGGATGGATGCCAAAATGCCGCTGAAGTCGATGCCCTTTCTCGATGAGATTGATGAACAGTATACGTAAGCCAACGCAGAGCTTGACGTCCGCGATGGGTCTTGGCTCAGCTCATCTATAGCTTTGGCAGCGAGATGAGACTTCCCCGAACCGGGCTTTCCGTAGACCCATAACAACGTCGAAGGCAAACTTTCGCGCCAGGATTTGAACGTTTCATGCTCAACGAGCCATGATCCCGAGCCGTCTACTCGCCGTTCGAAGTGGTCTTCTTGCGGGCCGCTGAAATCAATCGACGGCAGCCATTCGAGGAATTGACGCTGCTGTTTTTCTGCGTGAGATGTTAGCCTCCTCCCGAGAACAGATACCATGATGGACCAACTCACGTCGTTCTTTGTCATCTTCCTTGTTCCGTCGAAGGGCTTCAGCCTCGGTGGCTTTTTCCTTCTCACGATAGCCGCTCTCAAGCAGTTGAGCGACGCCTTCATTCGTAGACTTTGCCCAGTCGGACCTCACAAGTTGCCGCTGCGCCTCCAATGATCGCAGATGGGCCTCAAAGTTGGTCTTGATATCCAACAAATGCGCCTCAAATGGGTTACCCTGCATCTTCAGGGCGGTTCGAAGGCTATTCTTGCCTTTGCCCTCCTTGTTGTAAAACATTCTGGCAACGGTGACGCCAAATTCGAGTATATCCGTAGCTAGCCTGATTTCGCACGTTTTGACACCCGCATCGCTATCAAACATCTTCTTGTCCCTGTAGAGGTTGACATTGTTGACCGCATCGACCATGTACTCCAGAGTTTCAAGAATCTTGTTTTGATACTGGTCAAATGAGACAGTGAGTGACAAAATACAGGTTATGCCACCGAGAACTAGAGATGCCGGCATCGGATTGAGCTGACTGGCGCTGGTTGCGATGGGCGCGATCGAGTTCGCGAGGTGATAGATTGGTAGTAGCTTTTTCGAGAATCGCATCACCAAACTAGTGTCGGCTTTCTGTTGTACGGCGTTCTTGAGCACCTCGACGTAATCTGAATAGCTCTCCGCCTGGTTGCCGTCGAGGAAGAAAGCGCGCTGATCTTCCGGAAGCTTCCGGGCCTCGGAGACCCAGAAGCTGAGGGCTTTTTGAGCATCGTGTGCTTCGTCGCTGTTTGCTACCGCCGCAACTGATGGTCGCGAACGAGCTGACAAAGGCCAAGAGCCTTGACGTGAGACCATGGCGGTCTGCAGTGCAGCGTGTGAACAGTTAGAGAGATGGGAGCTTGGTGTGACTTGGCTTGTATTGGGGAAGCGGGGGATTTGAAGAGATCTTGGCCGGGTCTGCAGCCTGATTTCAAGGTCCTGGGATGTCTTAGCCGAAGGTGGGCTCACGCTTTGCTGACCACCATCAGTTGTCTGATCCAATAGGGAGCAAGGACGTCGATTTGTTGTTGGTAAGCTACACTCTGGGCTGGGGTATCCGTCTAAGCCCCAAATGCCAGGTTGTATTTTTGGACACTAGTAGAATTTCGGGCATCCAGCTATGAACGTCGTAAATCAAACTGCGCAGCCAAACACCAAGTATTAGCAGGCTGAGTTTGTGGTGTTGGCATGGCATGGCATCATAGCGATAAAAAGAAGGATGCATGCTTAAGTGAGCGTACACACAAAGATCAAAAGTTAGCCTTCGTTGCAATTGAGAGTATTGATGAGTTAGGTGTAATTTGACTTAGCAATTGACTTGTTTCTATGCGACTTGGTCAGCGGTTGAGAACCATATTATGCAACATGTATGTGAGGATGCAAATAAGCTGAGAAGACCCTGCCGTCACAAAGGTGGGCATGATGAAAGTACATGTGTTAAGTCTAAACTTTAACATTTCTAAAAAGTGTGACCTGGAGTTGATGCTGAATCGGGTAATCTACCACGCCTGAACTCTGTCGTTATAGATACTAAGCATCAACTGCAGGCTGAGGCGGCAACGGGACTCTCGGCATCTATTGGCGGACTAATTGAAGTACAGCACTAGTTTCGCGAATGCTTTCACATAGATGGGTGTGTCCTCATATCTTCATAAGAAGCCTCTTGAACTAATGGGTTACTGCGTCTAGAAGAAAGCGTTTCTTTAAGGCAAGCCGCCATATCGGAGAGGAGTTTGACGCCGACCTCGACTACTACACCAAGGCACAGCTGCCCGACCGCGCCGTCGTGCAGGCCGCTTTTGTGGAGGAAATTATAGCGTGACGTGTTCGGCGAACGGCCCCACATCGCCGAACTGCCACCGGTGCCTCCGTTCCGCCCATACTGAATTATTCAAACACATCCCACAGCTGATTCTGGAGCACGGACGGACGATCCAAGATGAAGATGGCAACATTAAAGGTTATGACATGAATGATAAGTGCATACAGTGCCTTATCAAGCGGTCATTCGCATCGAAAGGTGCTTGCTGAAGACTTGCCCAAGGTTTTCACAGGCGCGCTGAATGGCTTTAGCTGCTTTGTGAGGCGATATATTCTTGTAACAAGCTAAGAACAACCCGCCATGTCTTCCTCATTCCGTGGTTGCCTTGTGAAGGCTAATTGCGGTAGATCATCCTCTTGGAGCCAGCATCTAGACAGTACCCGGCGTTGCCGCTGGCGTGTACGGCCCCTGCACCGCTGGTTGCCCGTTTCCTTTTGGAGCATCGTGAATAATCTGATACTGGGCTGTCGCCGTCGCGGAGAAGTAACCTGAGCCACCCTGCGGCGCTACCTGGGCTCCATAAGGCGGAGAAAGCGGTGTCGGAGGTGGGTTGTAGGCTTGCAGCACCTGTTGTTGTGCCTGGTACTGTGACTGGTACGAATGCGAGACTGGGTGGTATTGTTGCTGTTGTATTGTCGTCTGTGAGATCTGCTGGTATGCTGGCTGGATGTAAGGACCAGGGCTTGGTGCATATTGAACTCCAGGTGCGGTCTGCTGCTGCTGCTGCTGCTGCTGCGTTTGGGCAGCATTCTGCACTGGTGGCGGGTAGGGTGGAGGAGGAGGCACAGTCCATGGCGTTGGCCGATACGCCTGATGAGGCGTCGGAGGGGCCGGTTGTGGACAGGTACCTGTAGGCATGGAAGCCGTGGTTAGAGTGGGCGGTTGATGAGAGTGTGCAGAAGGAACCTGCGCCTGCGAGGGAGGTGGAGGGTAATAGTTCGAGGTTGGTGGTGGAGGATGCGTCTGAGGATTGTGCTGTAGTGGCTCTGATGAGTGCCCAGGATGCTGCTGACAAGAATTCTGAGCTGTGTATTGGCTCTGGTGTTGGACTTGGTGCTGGGCTGCTATTCCTGGGTGATAGCTCTGCTGCTTCTGGTGGTTTGCGGGATCGTAAGTCATCACTGGTTGTTGAGCCTTCAGAGTCGAGTTAGATGCAAGTGGTCCAGCAGGCGGGGGGGAGGCACGAACCATGTTTTGTTGCAGCCGAGGGTCTACAAGAAGCTGTTCGAGCTCTTCCAGAGTCGGTTCAGGCGGCGAGGGCGGAGCCTTTGTCTCTGGAGGGCCTGCTTGGGGTGTTGGGTCATAATGAGCAGCGGTTTGGCTGTGATCGGTTGTTTGGTAGGTGGAAGGTGGTCCCGAAGTTGAATAATCCGGCTGCCGCACCCTGGTATGCTGCGGCAAGACTTCTTTCGACTGGAGACCATCAAGAGTATGGTAATGTTCGGATGGTGGGGTGAGAGAATTCGAGCTCTTCATGTCCGTCAAGGGCTGTTGATTCCCAGAGGTCTGCCAATGCGACTGATGAGCCAAGTGTGATGGCGTATGGTGAACATGCGGTGGATGGCCTTGTCGAGACACTTGAGACACGCTATGTTCTTGTGCGGGAGTTGGAAATGAGGCCGCAGTTGATGTTGGGAGAGATTGTGCCAGGGGCCCCATATCATAGACATCATGGGAAGGACTCGTGATGCTGCCTTCAGCTCTTGGGTGCGAATGGGAAGGCTGTGTACTGGTGTGTTGCTGAGAAATGCTCGTCGAAGATGTCGAAACACCTTGGGTGGTAGGGCTGGGTTGCGCAACATACGAAGAGTAGAGCTGAGCCGTTGAGCTGGGGTCATGTGACTGATTATTGCCAACATATGCCGGAACGGCCGTTTGGTAGTAAGGTGTCGAATAAGAATTGTATTGCGGAAGTGGCGTCTGATATTGCGAGGGGGGGCCCGGTGTCGCGTGGTTCTGGACTTGTGCATTCGTGGTGTAAGCCGGTGATTTGGAGCCCGAAGGGAATGCGTAACCGGGACTCGCGGGGTAGCTCGGAGGCGGTGACATCGGACTACCGTAGGTGGGTTGCGGCGGTGGCAGCGCTTGAGCTGTGTTGCTTCCGGAAGCAAAAGTCTGGGGATTGTACGGTTGAATCGAATAGCCAGCCTCGGCCGCCTTTGCATCCTTCACAGCTTGGAAGACGCCGGCTTTTCGAAAGGCCTTGAACGCATCCTTCTTCTTCAAGCGACTGGTATGAGCGTGCTCGATCCCCATCCCCACCCCGTCCATGGCAGCGTGTGCAATGACCTTGATCGCCGTCTCGTTCTCGACGACAGCCGAGATTCCGTGTTCCGCCCCGGCGGTGGCGATGGCGTCGGCCCCGGTGGTCCCGACCCCCAGCGTCACGACGCCGATGGTGCCGCTGACGGCCATGCTCCCTAGCACGTCGCGCTTACGGGTGACGTGGGTCGCGCCGTGTTTGTTGAGGTGCTTCTCGATGATGTCGCGCTTCTTACGGGCGTTGTGGATGGCGGGCGCGGCCATGGCGACGCCGATGGTCGAGACGCCGAGGGTAAAGGGGACGGCGATGCCGGAGACGGCCGTCGAGGTGGACGCGCCGGCGATCAGGCGGGTGTAGTGCTCCCACTCCCGCTGCAGCTCCTCGGGGGTGAGGCCGTTGCATTTCGCGTCGTATGCCTTGAAGTCGAATGGCATGTTGACAAGCTGCCCTTCGAGCCTTGGTTCGATGTAGAAATTCGGTGTCAACGATAGGTGGGCGACTTTAGGACAAGGAGATCCATGAGGACTTGGCGTCTTGTTATAGCCATCTCAAAAGTGAAGCTGAAATGGTGGCTTGCATTCAGCCTTAGGTAGATCACAACACCTTACATTCCCGAAGTGGTTCAATATTCGAGATGCGTCTGATGGCGCATCTCAGCCGCAGCGAAAGGGGTAAGGAGCCCGAGCAAGGCAGACAGGCGCACCCAATCACTAGGCAGACTTCAGGCGCAAATGACAGGTCGTGCTCGAAAATCTGGCCATTTCCTCTATTCCTCAAATGCCCACTACTCCTCACTGGCATTCAGTCGGGCAAGACATTCGTACAAGAGGTTGCGCGATCGGGGTAAGTGGGTGAGCAGGGGCGAGTAAGGCATCTTTATAGGTTATAGATTTTTGATAAATGAATTTCATTAATAGCAATGTGTAATATGTCCTTTAATTAGCTAAAATAGAGTTGGTTGCGCTTGGATGCTCAGCCTTTCTAAAATAAGTGTCAGAAAATTGCGTTGGGATCTGCTTGGTGCAGACTCACCTCATGGCTTGGACCGTTTCTGGCTTCAAACCTGTCTCTATACTTCTCTGCAACCTCGGCGAACTCATCCTTCGTGGTGTCGGGAACGAAGGGGCGTTCCCACGCGTCGGTCTTACTGACATATGCCACAGCGACTTTCTTCCCCGCAGACGTGGTCATAGTCTTAATGAGTTAGCTAGCCTTATACATTTTGCTTCTTTGTGTCTGATCAACTTGAATGAACTTGAGAGGTAGGAGGTAAGACGGCTGTGGACTGAGATGAGATGAATTTGGGACAGTAGTGCGTAGGTATCTGTGACGAGGGGATAGGCTTGGAACGAAAGGTTCTTAATTCCTCGCTCTTCAGGCTGCGAGGAAGCAGCCAATATATATACAATAGAATCAATTATATTGCCGTTCCAGTTGCCATTCTATCTGCCAACGTTAATTAGTCAGCCTCATTGGGTAACTGAGGTACTCGTAGCGAGGCAAACTCTGATAGGGCCAAGCAACAAAAGGCAGGTAAATCATAAGGTGAACAAGATCAGTACTATACTTAGTACTTATGGCTCGTTGGGTAAACTTAGGTTCTGTAGCACATCTCTCACGGCTAATCAATCAGTCTCTCTTACGTAGCAGCGCCAGTGTTGGCCTTAGCGGCGGTCCCCGTTGGTCTTGATGATGTTTTAAGGCTGTTGGTAAATCGAGAAATGGACCTATACCCTAGCCTTTATAGAGGTACCTTAGGTGGTATTAGGGAGGAGTACCTATGCGCGCAGGAGGTGGTCACCAACAAGCATCGTCGCAAGCATCCAGGGGCTGTAATCATTGGTGAAGTACTGTTTGTTGGCTTGAATCTGGGCCATTCTACAAGTGACAGGTCACGTGTCTTGCACCTGAAAAGAAGGCGTCTCGCACGTGCTGCCACGTCGTTTGACTTCTTCCTGCGAAGATAACTGCTCTGTCACGACCTTCGTGACAACACAGCATTGATGGCTACCAGTTTACTTGGTGCTACAGGGCGCCGCTACATCTTCAAAGAATTGATCCAAGAGAGGCCGCACCTTGGCCGCGTGTGGTTGGCAACGTCCGCCCATCCTTTCCAATTTTGCATAATTTGAGCTTTGAACTAATAATGGGGCCTAGGGCGCCTGCTTTCATCCGCCTGCAACGTCAAGTTTCATATTTTGGAGACCGGGATGGGCTGAACGGGCTTATGAAGCACGTTGGAGACGAGGAGATCAACTGCCAGGTCTTGGGGATGCTTTGGGACGAGCGGTCGGAGGAGCACATTCCCTATTTACCATTCTCGACATGGCCAGACGTCAAAGACGTCTCGTTCAGAGACCTCGTCCAGCGCATGTTGAATCTGGACCCTGCGAAGCGGATCACGGCTCGCCAGGCATTAAGTCATCCTTGGTTTGCGGGATTCTGACCTCTAGTCTTTCCCGTTTCCAGATTTCCATCTCTTCGATTTCCTCCGCTATTTTCCTATTCCGTAGTTTCCTTCCAGTTTTCCGCCTCCCGAGAAAAAGAAGAGCCTCTTACTCCTCTCAAACGCCTGTTTGTTATAACAATTCTTGGACTATGACTTGTTGCGAGTGCTCTTCCACTGTGATGGGCGTGGCCCGCGTTCATTTCAATAACTTGAACTCAGGGGTGCCTCAATGTTAGGAATCTAGGGGTTTGGAAAACACTTCTACGTCGGCTGTTAGGACTAAAACCGGCCTCCCCGCTCGCGCTGCCCACGCCGAGCTCACCCCAAGCTTACCCCAGGCAGGCATCATTTTTCCACCTCAAAAGCAGCAACTCTGGGGTGAGAAACTGGGTGAGGCAATCGCACCTAAACCACAGAGTGAAGCACCACTACTTCTCACTGGCATTCAGTCGGGCAAGACATTCGTGCAAGAGGTTGCGCGTGTGCGCCTCGAGCTCCTGGCAATCAGCCATGGGAAGTTAATGATAGATACGTGTCTGGTGAGAACCACTCATGGTACTCGTATCTCATCTCTAATCCTGTAACAGAACGTTTTCGTTTTTTTGAACAATAAGATGTGATTGGTGCAGTTCTCCATTTTGGTCGTCAAAAACTTCAAATCCACACTTTGTACATGTATCCATCAGAAGCTGTTCGTGAACTTGACTCCGTAGCTAAGACTTCACCCAACGGTCCACCCAAATGCCGCAGCAGAGGCTCTTCGGGAGAGGATTCATTCCTCTTACTCCAGTCGTTGATATCAACCGACCTGAAGGATGGATGCCACCGTGGTACCTCTATCAGAGTCTCAATTGTCGAATTGTTGAGCCCATTCCAGGTTCCGAATTTGGGCTCTGGGCCATGAATAATCCAATCAGCAACTTTCTGCAATGTCTTGATGATCCGTCCGCAAGGGATCTCGTCTACAGGACAGGTAGGCCAGTTGATCTGGTGCGTCCTGCGAGCGCCGTGTTGCCCAAGGCCGCGTGCTGGGTCTCGCCTGGTTTTTGATGCGTATGTTTCCAGTATAGAAGTGAATTGCTTGATGAAGGATGGCTCCCAGTACCAGGGTTTGATTGAATTCCGCCGCGGGCCACACTCAGCTGATGTAAGGAAGGGGGGATTCTCCAAGTCGCTTCCTGAACCCCTCGACAAGGTATGATCGGCTTCGGTGCTCATGTACCCTGCTCTTGAATGAAGTGCCTTTTGGTACGCAATGCGCAGACTTGTCGCGACCTGGTAGTGACAACTTTCCTGGCCGTCACTGACGTGCAAGAAGGCTTCGATGGCCCCGCATATAATCTCGAAGTCACGCCCGCTCGTGAGAAATCTGTTCGGTAGTGCATCGTATTTAGGCGAATAACGTTCCACGAGTGCAAACAAATGCTCCATGACATCGAGTCTGCCGTATAAGCAGCACACGCGTACAAAGCTTGTAATACTTACTCCAATGTCTAATGGAGCAAAGCACATGTCGACGGCCCAGACGACTGGAAGACAATCTCGGTATTCCATACCTTTTTTGCTGGCGACACTAGGAACGTGCAAGATGAAGTCGTCCTGCTGTCTCAGCGCAGTGCAATAATCGAAGCAGAATTTGGCAGCCGGATGCTTGATGTAATAGTCATCAACTGCCAAAGAGAGGATAGACCTTTCTCGAAGTTTTGAGATAGACTTTTGAATCGCCCCAAGAAAGTTGACGGCCCCCGCATCATCGCGAACCGATTCGCGATCCACCGACAAGGAGGCTGTGCAAAGAGAGAATCCAAGCTGTCGATACAAAACCCTATCCACGTACTCTCTTGCGAGCTTCGGGTTAAGACTGGGTATCCTGCCACGAGACATTACTTGCAGGAAGGTAGTGACTGTGTGATGGGAAAGCTGAACAGTCCATGACTTCTGCGTGTTCGTGGACTTGAAAGCTTGGCGTGAGTCGTCGACGATTTCAACTAGAGGACCACAATGGTATCGGACGATGTGTGAGAATTCCCTCCAGTCTCCTCCAATGACAAATTTGTCTTCCAGGGTCACATTCTCCTGGTGATCTTTCTCGTTCTCATCAGGAATGGCAATGGCCTCCCGTAGATGCTGAAGTTCCAGTCGTGTCCTCCCGTTACTGCCTAAAACCCAGAAGAGAATTCTTCTCGTATACATTCGATCGCGAGCATCTCGATGTGCTAGAATCTCGTCCATGAAATAACGATAGTACTCTTCGATGTCGAGTGGTAGCGATTTGAGTGTTTCCATTAGGTGTCCACGAGGAGTAAAGCCACCTGGGCTGCTGATATCAAGTTCGAGTTGGTTGAGGACAAGCTTGACCCAGAATATCACGCCGCGAGCGTTTTCTTCAAGGTACGTGCGAATTTCGTTCAAAGTACTCTCGTATTCTGTAGAAAGTAACATGCCAGTCTCGCCTGACGTGGCCGGGATATCGCATGTGCCGACAGTAATCGAGCTTTCGTCTCCAGAAGAATCGGAGTCCCAAGTAAGCTTTGTATGGGTACTGGCGTTAAACCAAGCTCGGCGCAGGGTAGAAATGCCACTTCCAATCAGCAATGATATGTCGTTAGAGTTGTGCTGCTCCATGTCTATCCTGGGCCATTTGTCTAGGTGACGGGAAATACTGGGCTCCGGCCTGCTGAGAATGATGAAGCGTATGCGGCTTTCACTCAGGCGTTCTACCTTTTCGAACATCTTGAGAACCTCCAGCCTGTTTGAGCTTCCTTGAGTACTGTCTTCCGACTCATCCAGTGCATCAATAACCGCGAGTATTTGCGGGACCGAACGGCTAGTAGCAACTTTTGTAAGCAATTTCATCAATCTGCTTAATGACCAATCTTCATTTTCTTTTCCACCGTTCAGACGGGCTCGGTAATCCGATCTGATTGCCGCAAACGCCGCATCGCTCGCACTCAGTATATCGAAGATCAGAGTACGAAGCATCGCAGCGTGTCGTTTGCCGACGTCAGGACCTCTGGCAGTGTAGAACCAGTCGCATACGGACATGGAGTTCTCAGAACCGTCATCTTGGTATTTGATTTGAAGCTTTTGACGGATGGTCTTTGCCAAAACTGACTTCCCGCAGCCTGCTTTGCCATATATCAAGAGAATGTTGCCGAATGCCTCCCATTTTCTGAAGTCTGGGTTTTGCCATATCCAGGTATTTGTACCGGGTAAAGCGGTGGTTATTTGATCCCGTCTAGTATGCGCGTTCGCTACTTCGAATGTCTTGATGCAATCTGAACGCTTATCAATAAAACCCAGTCTTTCATAAGGCACCAGACTGTAGGGTGCACTTACCGTCGCGTTCCGACCCCTCGTCCACGGCTCTCCCCGACGATACTATGGTGGTCCATGTTGGCTTCTTCTCCGAATCACTTCGGGAGGGTTGATCTGAGGCATCCATAGTTTTGGCACAGAGAAGGATCTTCACACCCAAACCAAGTCTCCCCAGCGAGTTCAAGAAGCCTACACAGCTTTCTGGGGCTAAAAGCTCAAGACAGTCAATCACGAAAACGTATTGAGTGTTGCCAAGGGGAAAGCTTTGGATCAAAGCCTGTAATAAATCAAGAAGATCTGATAGGTCATATTTGCCGATTTTACAGACACCATGGTACCATGGTTCCATATTGGAATCTAGCCGTGTCTGTTGAAAAGAGGACTCTAGCTCGGAAACGAGCTTGATGATCTTTTCAGAGTGTGACGGGAGTCGGAGGAGGTGTTTGACAATTCTTTCTTCTGAATGGCAAGTTTTGTACAGAAGCTGGCAAAAGATGCACCAGAGAGCCTGTGAAGGGTGAAGTGGCCTTAAGGAAGCTGCTGGTAGTGGAAGAGACCTGCTGTTGAACGCAGCTGAGAAGGCGAAATACCCACTGAGCAGGTTCCTTCCGTCAGTCCATGCGCTCCATGAAGCCACGTGAACTCCAATGGGGCTTGACGAAAGCTCTGGTTGGCATCTTCGGTACCATAGTAATCCTGATTTGATCTCAGGATTAGCTGTTGTTCGACACCAACTTCTTGCGGCTTGGCTGTACGTGAACCAGGACAATGACGTCTCATCATGATTTAGACGAGAATTTGTAGTTGATCGAAATGTCTCTAAAAGACGACCAGTGCGTAAGATGGTTCTGGCTGCTTCCTGGAGACCAAATGCTGTGGCAAGGTCTGCAGCTTCCAGAGTCAGGATGGTGGCGGTGGCCTTGAGCTCCTGTTGAATGTAGGCGGATAAGTCGCCGCTAAGGAGCCATTTCGTGCCAACTCGAAGGCTCTTCAAGTACTTGATTGTTCTGACAATTCCAGAAACATCAATACCATGATCCGTCGTGCAATGCTCCAAGCCATCAATGATCAGGGTGACACATTCTGTTCTGTGCCTACGCACTTTTTGCAAGACGACTTTCAGGATTTCAGCCAGGAGCCAGAATTCAGATGAAGTCCCTTTGGCCTTTCTCAATTGTAGCTCGTAGTCGGCTTGGATGTCTCTAAAGAGACTTCCATGCACCCACTTATCGACCAGTAGCATATAGAGTAGTCCCGACAGCACCATTGTAGGTGTAACCGGTGGGGCTCCCACATTATCGGGCGTTTTACAGAAGAAGTACGCAAGTATCGGCCTCGGCTCTGCACCTCCAGGCTCTGCACTTCCAGCCGATTGTAGTTGGTCAATCAACTTGGAAGTGAAGAAAACATTGCCTGTCCCTGTGTCGTCGAGCACAAGCAACTCGTTGTCGCTGTTGCTCTTCAGCCAAACACTGAATGGAGTTCCCGCGGCGGTGGTATCTCCAAAAGCGTAGGTGACAGTGACTTCGCCAAGATTTGCTAGATGCTTGATTCGAATTTGATCGGTTCGCGGGTCGATATCGGATATCAAAGATAGGAAGTCGTCAGAAGGGCCGGAATACAAAGGGCCTTTAAATATTCTATTAGTCAAGGCCATGGCTTCAAAAGTCCAGTAGAATAGCCTGACGCACCATTGAACTCGCTGATGTTGACCTGGCTTAAGTGATTGTTGTCCCCAAAGCTCGAGTTGTCCACGGAAAAGCTGTGGGAAGTCGCTCGTTCCATGCTTATTGTACGACAGAAGGTCTTACAACAACTGTAGACTTATGGGTAATTCTTCCGACTTTCCATGGAGCCCGTAGACTCAACAGACAGACCAAGGCCTATAGGAGTTCCGACCAAGCAATACAAGCTCCGAACGGAGAAGCCTGGCTGAGACTCGTAGACCTCGTCAAGCAGAGAGGTTAATGACGAGGCGGTGAAAAGGCGAAGTTTCGGACGTGGCAAATTGGTCGAAATCCGATTGGTGAAATGACAAGAGTGTTTGACCGAGTCGACCATGGCACGTCAGACTGAGGACGCAAGTCGGGCTCTGAGGTCTGATGTCGATAGCATGTTGGCGAAAATTGAAGAGGAGCGCCCGCGGGGGCTGAAGAAAAAAAAGAACTGCAATTGGATGCTCCGATGAGTCACGTGTAGCGAAAAATGCACATTTGATTCGTCTTCATGTGGCTTGGCTGCGTGAATTGCGGCAACGAGCCAACAGAAGGCTGGCAGACTTGCAACCAATTCTGCACATCCATCAGCCTGCATATCAGCTGAAAGGTCCCCGCGTAAGACGCCATGCAAGCCGTGATTCTCAGCTTCGACACACGCAAAAGGTTCGACCTAGATTTTATGGTGAAATGGCATGCAAAACACCCCGTGCGATCTATATCGCCGCATATACTGACTATTGATCGCAGGCTGAAGCTGCAATTGGACTGGCGGCATCCATCGCTGGACTCATCGAGGTCACTGCTGGAGTCCTCCAGAAGATACAAAAGATTCGCCAACGAATAAAAAACATCCCGAATGTGATCGAAGAAGTCTCTTGCGTCCTGAAGGCATCGGCTCAGACGCTTGCATTAGTCAAGAGAGACAGACAGCTGCAGACTCCCGAGGTAGTAACGCAGATCAAGGAAGTGGAAAAGGTTACGCTAGATCTTGAACACTTCTTTGGAAAGATCGAGTCACAACAAGAGATGAGCAAGCTCCAACGCTGGGGTCATGCCTTCAAGTCCGGATCTTCAGAAGACGGCGAGCTGGCTGGGCTTCTCACCCGCCTTCAACATGCCCGGTCCGAACTCGACACCCGAATCTCTCTTTCCCACGTTGGGCTCACTGGGAACCTCCAGGATGGTTTTCAGGTGGCATTAAAGGTGCTTGAAAAGACTAATAAGGGCGTGCAGGAGATCTTGGGGCAGAATCTCACTATTGCTGAGATGCTTCGGCACAGGGACATGCAGTTGACCAGTAATGCTTACCCTTCACCTCGCGGTCACTGTCGAGTCAATGCTAACTTCAGGTCAACCCATAGCGCATGAGACTATTCGACTCGAGCCGGCTGATATTGAAGCCTTGAAGTTGAAAGACACGGACCTTGCTGATGCGAGAAGGCCAGTGGACCAGATGGGAAATAGCAAAGGCAAGGATCGACTGGTATTCCGCAACAACGAAACAGGGGATAAACCACGAATTTTTGTCGGGAGCCTAGGTGTTGAAGATCCTTCTAAGAGCAGTAACTCCACTGCAAATATCAGCGACAATAAGTTCGGAAGTGGTGCGAGCTTCGTGGTCAGCGATGTTGGCCGCGACTCAGCGAGCGATGTTATCAAGGGCCTTTTTGGGAACTAGATCCCTTGCTTTCCATGTAGTGGTGAAATAATGGATCACTGCATGCAGGCCTTTGGGTTAGTAGCATTTTATCAAATTTGGTTGTGCAATCGACTCTAAATTATGTCGACACATGTCTGCCAAAAGTGGCGGACGGCCGGCCGAAATTATAGTGGGACATGTTCGGCGATCGGCCCCACAGCACGGAGCTGCACCCGATGCCTCCGTTCCGACCATGCTGAACTTTTGAAATCTTGTTTGTTGGAAGCTCCGAGTGCATCTTGTGCATGTTTAAGAACACGTTTGCTCCTCGTCCCGGACAGCGGCATGTCCCTTGCATTCTCAAGGCCTCTTTTCTGGCCTCACCATAGCCGAATATGTCCTGGGCTTGGAAGAATCCTGGCTGCACACACTTTGCGGATTTCTACGGCATCCATACTGCCGTCGATTCAATGTCTCACCGCCAGCATATCTTCATATTAACAGTTCACTATATGGCAATCTCGCGTGCATCACCGACCAACCTAGAATGCACTGCGAAAACGGCCCGCCACTTGAATTAAGTATATCGAAATCTGCGTCTATTGAGTTAAAAACATTAAATATACAGAACAGTGGGTATTTTGACAAATGCGACAGTGTTCAAGAAACCAGGCAACCCTATCCTCAATCACACCCAGCTTCCACGGGCCTCCTGTTAACGTAGTAGCCCGGCCTGTCCACCGGGGACTCGGGCGTCTGTTCTCCTGCAAGCCAGTTCCGAGGATGCCCAGAAGGCCCTTTCGGAAGGCAGGGAGTACCTTGAAGTTCGCACATTGTGTGCGACTTTCGCTTGAGATACTTGTACCAGAGAACCACGCAAACGATGCAAGTCACTCCAACAAGACCAACTCCGACACCAATACCGGCCTGGGCACCAACTGGGAGGTCTGCAGGCTCGGCACTGACAGATGCAGTATTGCTGACCGACCCGTCTTCGGCCTTTGTCTTGTCCGTCGGACCCGGCGCGGTTGCCGCAGGAGTAGAGCGGTCTTGAGCTGTTGATGATGTACCTGTCGCGGTTGTAGATGGAACAGGTTGGTCGGTAGTAGACTGTTCCGTCGGTGACGAGGAAATAGACGAAGATGTTGAGGATGTAGTCTGAGTTATCGAAGTCTTCGTGGTCGATGAGCTTTGCGCTGCGGGTTCGTCGGTGATGTTGAAGAATGCCGAGGAGAATGAGTCCCCCTTGCCCGTATGTCCTTGGATAGACCTGTCTCCTTCAAAGAACCAGAAGAAGAAAATGTTGGAGGCGCCAAGATCGAGCATCTCCAAGTCAACCTTCCATTCAAACTCCCGCTCCGGCCCATCTGTGGTATCTGAAAGTTGTCAGAGTCGTGACCTCTTCTTGAGTCTTTGCGTGGGAACTCACCAACAAGAATAGGCCCAAGTTCCGCGGAACCTCCGGCTATGGCCTGCTGCCACAGAGCAATGGTGTAGTTCTTGAGTTTCGTATTGTAAGTGACTTTTTTCGTCTCCCCAATCCTCCATACTTCCCTTCTCTGGGAAGGGTTGAGGAACTGAGGGGAGACGAGAGGGATGACGGTGAACAGTAACACAGCGACGCGACGCATGTTGGACGGCTTGCTCTTCACCAAGGTGAGCGGACGGGAGAGTCGTCAACTCTGGCATTGTTATTTTATTCGGTGGCTTCGAGTTGTTGGTGGCCATGGCTGTGCTGAATCCGACGGATCGGGTTGCAGCTCCACCTGTTGGTATCATGTTCGAGCAACAAACTTCAACACCCTGCTCAGTTGGACCAACCACAACCGCAGGCTTTTGAAATGTAATTTGCAGCCTGTCTTGCGACCCACGATCGGCTCACATGCCTGTCAGAAAATGAAAGCACTGAGTTGCTGCTCCCAACGGCGTGCCTGGCTGGTCTCCCGGCGGTTTATGGTTTCTCTCTGACTTGAAACTCATGAGCATAGTTGAGAGTTGCTGCACAACTCCAAATGTGGATAACTCCGAACGAGAATCCATCGCCCTGCTTTGGAAAACAGAACGCGGGCTGATAAATGAGCTCGTGGGACTAAGCTGGGTCTTGGACCAGGGTCCTCGGCACGGTCCAATCACGAATCGCGGTCCTCCACCTCATCATGCATGCTTAACCCAACTTGCACCAACGGCTTCGTGTTGCCAAGGACTGCGTCGAGGACCAACAGCATTCACCACGTTCAGCTCGGAGAGGCGAGCAAACAGCGGCATTCCCCCTTTCTTCTTCTCATGTCGGCTCCCTTATCTCCTCGCCAATTTGGAACTCGCTTAAAGACGTGTTTGCTCTCGGCGGGCGTCCTGAGGCGTACGATGACGAGAAGCCTTGCCGGCTGCCCCGTTGAAAAGATCGTCCATCAATAAGCCTTCTTTTGCAAAATTGGGTAATGGGGGCTAGTCCCTCCGGCCCCCATACATCCCTCCGGGCTGAGATTTGATTAACCGCCCCATCATGCAGTCAGATAACAGCCGTTGGTCCTCGTGTTTTTAAGAGAAGGCTCCCGGCACTCGCGGCAGCGCCAGAAAGACAAAATTTTCCGGTCTTTTGCTTTCTTTCATTCATTCATTTCTGTGTTGAGCCAGACGACATGAAAATGCATTTCATGCCCGGCAGGCCGACGTCCAAGAGGGACCTGGCCATCATCGGGGCCGTGTTCATTACGCTCGTGCTTTTCTTACACAATCCGTTCCTCGGCCAGATCCGACAGCGGCGCAGCTCATCCTTGCCGGATTTGATGAGCAACATTGGCAACAGCACGTTGGGTGTGAGTGTTTCCTGGTGTAAATATTGAGCCAGTGCTGACAACGTCAAGTTTGAGAAGATTTTCGTCATCGGCCTCCCCTCAAGAACCGACCGCCGAGATGGAGTCCTCCTCCAGGCCGCTCTCAGCGACATGGAAATCGAGTTTGTCGACGGCGTCCCTGGTGACCAAGTGCCGGACAAGGCGATCCCGAAGACGAGCGAGCATGACCGCCTACACAACGGGGCTATTGGGTGCTGGCGCGGGCACATGAACGCTCTCGGGGAGTGAGTCTCACAAACACGCCAAGGTAATCGCTGTTTGCTGACACGCAGCCACAGAATCGTCCGCCGGAATCTGTCCTCCGCTCTCATTCTCGAGGATGATGTCGACTGGGACATCAGGATCAGACATCAGTTGCACGACTTCGCGCTATCGTCTCAGGCGCTTACACAGCCGCTGGCGGAGGCGCCTCTGTCCTACGTCGATCCCACATACCCGATGCCGTCCGAGAACACCCCAGGACGGCTGCCGGACATTCCCTTTGAGCACCTCCCGGCCACCGTTCCCCCGAAGCACTCCCCGTATGGCGACGATTGGGACCTCCTCTGGATCGGCCACTGCGGCATGCACTTCCCCTTCGAGGATAGCAGGACAGTGCCGAAAGCCCGCATCATCCACACGAACGATGTCACCGTCGCCCCGAAGAAGAACCTTTGGACGTTCAACATCCCCTTCACGCTGAAAGAGCAGTACCCGGAGCACACGCGCGCGGTGCACCATGCGCAGGAGGGTGTTTGCACGTTGGGCTACGCGGTGAGCCAGAAGGGTGCAAGGAGGTTGTTGCAGGAGGTTGCGCTGAAGGACGTCAGCGATGCTGTCGATATTCTGCTGAGATTCTTCTGCGAGGGTGCCAAGGGCAGAAAGCCTCACAACTGCTTGACGACGCAGCCGGCGCTCTTTCACCATCACCGCGCTGCAGGCCCTCTGAGTTCCATGAGTGACATCGGAAACCACGGCGATGGTTTCCGGGAACAGAGCATGACGGACATGGTGAGGTGGAGCGTGAGGTTGAATGCCGACGCGTTGCTGGAAGGAAGGACGGATTTTGTCGACCAATACCCTGATGAAGTATGAGGAGCACTAGACGGATGTGGGTAGGCGTTTATTGTTTTTTAGAGATTTCATTTCGCTTCATAGAAATACCAAGTTGTGAAATACTGGGCGATCGTTGCTGGGTTTGGTTCAGTCTTCTTTAAGCCCGAGGTTCGTCCAATTTGTAGAGGTCTGACTCGTGCGCCCTCGGTACGATACCGAAGGTTTGGATGCAATTGAAGGCAGTATCAGCGGAATCTGGTCTAGTTGGGCAGTAAGCAAGGCAATGAGTCCGATTCTTCCACATTTTTACTTACATACCTAGGTATGCATGATTGGATGCGACAGTGGGCATCCTCGTGTCCATCTAGACGATGTTCAAAAGTGTAACACAAGTCGCTGTCAAAAAGTCACTCAACTTGAGCGAGAAGCTGACAATGACTTCAAAAATGAAATCTCGACGTTGGCCTGATTCGAACAGACGCTCCCGAAGGAACAAGATTTCTAGTCTTGCGCATTAGACCACTCTGCCACAACGCCGTGTTCCACTTGAAGTGGATATACTACTCCTAGCGCCTGGTGCACTTCATACCTGGTCGGCTGACTAGCTGAGGTTCGTGAATGGCGAAAACTGAGCTTTTAGACGAAGAGAGTAAACATTAAAACAGAAAAAGGGCTGCCATTGCAAGATCACAGCTAGGCATGTATCTAAGAAACTCCGTGAGACGCCTTGGTAACCAACCGACCACGTGGACCGACGCCATCCAAACCAAATGGAATACCTTGTTCAGCTCCTGAACCTTTTCCCGTGTCCTAAACTCCTGGGGTATCATGAGTCTCCCGAATCGGTCATCAAACATACTCCGCCGCTTCGTGGTCCACTATGGTACTTCCCGAATCCGGTTCGTGGTGGCTAGCGTCAGACTGTCGAGTTGTGTTGAGTGTCGCAAGGCCTATGGGGGCCGTCGTGCGACGAGAGAGGGTCTGTGGTCTCCTACTACGTTCGGGCGGTAATGTACTCGCTGATGCTGAGCTTTCTTGCTGCCCCGGATTGCGGTCGGCAGGCTCTTCTCCCGAGTTTCGTTTCGACGTCGGCTCAGTTGACGTCAACATAAATTGGGCTCCGAGGTACGGCATTGAAAACCTCCTCGACCTCGATCCGGTTGATCTGGAGAACGACGATTTCTTTGGGTTCGCGTTAGGTGTGGCTTCGTTGCTGTCCCGTCGTGATGCCAGATGCGCGTTCATCGAGTGGGATTCCCTGACGACCTTGGCGATGAGATCCGCCATACCCATCTCGATATGTAGTTTGAGGAGGTAGGCTAGTGGATGAAATTGCGCATAACTAGTCCTCGTTAGCATGCATTCTGTTTACGTCTTGGGGCTTACAAACATTAGAGTATTCGGTAGAGACATCAACGCTATGAGGATGATCTGGGTTCAGACTTGTCAGAATGTTCCGCTCCACGCTTTGTTCCAGTCAAACTTACGTCCAGTGACATTGAAACCGCAATCATGCAGAGATTGAAGTTAAAAAGGCGCGTATACTTGGTCAAACCGTTGGCTATCAACCGTGACTTGACCAAGTAGATGAAAGTGAGGTTGAGGCTTGCGTCGACAAGCAGGAAGATACCTTTCTCAACCCGGTCCCAAATCTCGTTAACGTGAATGTAGGTCTTGTTTATCTGGAGTCGGGCGGGTAGCCAGATACAAAAGACGCTGATATTGATGGCGAGGATGATGGCGAAAACACCCCATTTCAGCCTCTTCGCTTGCGATTGTATCGGCATCAAGATTGCGATCCGGTTGATGATGATTTGCACGAGACATTGTACCTGAATAGACCAGAGAACGACTGCGCCGGTCGCGTTGTCAGTGTATGTTTCATCGTATTCGGTTCGACTGACAGAACTTACGGAGGAGGAAGAAGTACTCGAAACTGGAAACAGGTCAGCAATGTTACGCCAAACACAATCGAGTAGTCCATACCTGGTCTCAATTCTTCCGGTCAGATAGCACCACGAAATGATGCCAATGACCATACTGGAGATCCATTCCGCCCATATAAGCCAGACGTACGCGTTGACCCGGTGTATCCTTTTCCAACTGGCCAAAGTCTGTCGGTATCCCTTCACTCCGCTCCACAGCCCGACTCCAAGTGTGAATCCCCAGAACATGCTCGCGACGTTCATGTCGTTGATCGAGGGAGGATGCTCCTCATACCACGGGGGGACGAGAGTTCCCGCCATTATCGATCCGTATTTCGTTGTTCATCGGTCGATTGAAGGATCGTGGACGCGAGGTCCGCCTTCATCCCCGACTGAAACTCAGGGACTCGAAGAGGGGAAGAAAACCTGGGTGGAAAAGACAAGCTTTTCGTGATGCGTGCGAGATGCAGGGGCGCGAGCAGTCCATATGAAGGCCTGGAACCCATTGACCGCCGCTCATCGGAACTTCAGCACGCGCTAATTTGCGATAGCGAATGGGCAATCTAGCATTCCAGAAAGTAAGCCGGTGTCTGGTGGCAGGTCGTCAGAGTTTATTTTCCAAGAGGTGCGGTGCGACATTAGGCGCAATGACGGCCTTACAAAGCAAACGGCCGCCTTTCCCCGACTCGGGAACGTCAGTGCTAGATCCGGATTGGATAACCTTGGACCCTGCAGGCGTCAAGTTGCCGGTGGGAAGCGTTCAGACTCTGCTCGTTTGAGCGGGTTGCCAAGATTGAATGGCAGATTTTCGCCCTCTTCTGGTTACTCATAGACGGGACACGCTTTCCGCGAAGCCGATGTGTGGCCGGCAAATGAACTCTCGGGTTGCCTTTGGGGTACATAGGGGTTCGCCACCACGTTCCAAGTGAGAGGGCTGCAACGATGATCTCCGTCAGTCAATGCCGGGCTGCCCTGGACTAGATATCTCGAGCTGCCGGGAGAGCAAGGCCGTTGATTATCGCCCGTTGGAACAACTACGGGCTGACGGACGGGGATCGGACAAGAGACCGGTTGACCCGGCTTCACCAACGCTCAAACCTCTTCAAGCCACAGCTTCTAGATGCCCGCCAAGAAACGGGACACAACGTACTCAAACTATCAGGTAATGAAAACGGTTTATCTAAGCCGTAACAGCGGTGAACTGTCCGCCCTGTGCTCATGTATACCAGTCCAAGATGTCCGGGCCGACAACACAGACGCAGAGACAACGAGATGCCGGAGCAAAGGGCCCCCTCGACTGCGCGGGGGAAATAAGCTTTGTTCTCGCAGGAACGTGCGTCACTCCAATCGAGATCAGCACGAGGGTGCGATTGTTTTAGCGTCAAAATGCGAGTCAGGGTTCTCGATTGTCGTCATTGGAGTATGCTCCACGACCACAAAGGGGTTCGTTCCAAGTGTTCTCCGGCACCGACTCTGGACGGCACGAAACGGCAACGGCATCGCGTACTAATCAAGACCGAGTTGAACGGGTTGTGGGGCGCATTTGCCGGCCAAGCTTCACTGTCCGTTTCGCGTTGTCCTATCTGTTTGACGGCTTGGTTCCGTGGCCTGAAGATAACACGGCATTACTCTGGGTTGAGCAGAAAGCGTGAAGGATCGTCCCGCCCATGACTCGAGTATGTGAAGTTGCGATGACGTCGAAAGCTATGGTGAGTGGAGGGCAGAAGTTCCCCACGGGTAGATCTGCCGTGTAGATAAACATGGCCGTTGCCTTCCGGGGTGGAAAAGGTTGTCACATATTACGAACACTAATTAAAAACTTGGTTATGTGTGCTCTTCGGGCTGGTGACCTGCCCCTCGAAACAGTGAAAACGTTGTTGATACTGTTTCCGCAGTCCGCAACAGGTTTAGGCGGTTGTCTAGAGAAGTCCGATAAGCTGAATAGAGCATCCGTCCGCATACAAATATGGTCGTACTTTAAGTAACTCTGAAGCTATTTCCAGCAATGCTGACGGATAACGCAGCACATAACATGTCGTCAGTTGTGGAAGTATATTGGACAATCGTAGGGTTTTGAGGTTTTTGACTAAAACGTTCCCATATCGTCCATGACGTTGGAACCATGATTTACACTTTTGTCAACGTGGAAAAACTTTGGTCTGTTAAATCTTCTAAGCAGAACCACAATCGTCTGTTGTCTTCACAATGCCTGTTCATGAGAGAGCCTGCTATTCAAGAAACTTGAGCGGTTCATCCTGCTGCTGATCCACCATCTTTCTATGGCTTCCCACCCAACCCTCCACCTTTGCGGATCGCTCCAGCGGAACTTGATTCAAGCTTCTTTTGCTGTCCACATTTACCTACGATCATGTGGTCATAGCTGACGTCGGATCGGCGTGCTCCAGTGGAACGGGGGCCGACATAGCGGAGAGCTCCGGTCAACGATGTTCTTAAGTTTCTCCTCGTTAGCAACTTCGTCTGAAGAAATTTTCTGGACTTCCACGGTGTGCTTTTTCATTGGAATTCTCAGTTTTAGAGGGTTGCCTTGATTGGAGTCATATAATTGAAAGCATGCAGCTGTATATATATGCAGCATACGAAGGTCCAGGCGGCCACGCAGACTCAGAGCCTCGCGTAGTAAGGCTGGAGAAAAGCTATCATGAAATGACGACAACGAAGCAAAGACCCGTTCAAGTTTTCTATACTGAGGCTTCTTTTCGTATGAAAGTTGTGGTCTTGATTACGGCGATTTGGCTACATACATGTACATGTAGATTTGGCAGGGGCTCATATTAAGAAACAACTTGATCTCATAGTCTAGACTTCGATGCCAATCATAATGACAATTCGTATTCACCGGACTCCAAGTTCCCAACCGTGGATTGGATCAAACAGGTGGCTTCATACAGTACGCAAATGTTATCTGAAATTTCTTGAACAGCCATGTATAACCTAAGAGCTGCGCTAGTCTCAAGCCCGGGCACACTTATAAATCGAACTGGCTCTTCCCAGTTCGTGTCGAAAACGTTCTCAGCTCTTCGAGCGAATTTAGGTCATGACGTCTGATTAAACCCGTCAATGTTTGTCTTACAAGCAGTCTATTAGTTCAGGATATTGCGAACCTCAGATCCGGCGTATTCTCCCGAACTGTCTTCGATGAGTCGGGTTAGGGGATCTTTACTGCCGCAGGTCTCGCCCATTAAATATGTAGTCATGATATAGCTATACGATGTGGTGTCCGCTGTGGATATGTATCTGTGCCTTGTCTGAGGCACCTGTGGTACATACGGATTATCTGGCTCTGACGAGGCCAGAACACGTAGACGATATTGATTCGGAAAGGTATACCCCAGTTTAACGCATTTCAAGCCAGTGACAATTGCACACACGCCGATGACTCTCTGACTGGCTCACAATTTCTAAATCGAAAGTGAATGAAGCCCAACGAAATATGAAAGTTCAAGTTCGCATGAGTCAAAGCCTCATTTTCGATCCAGAGACCACCAAATTGGCCGAGTTTCAGGTCATTTCATGTTTGGCACTTATTGAATTGAGCCTTATGCTCGGACACAATTAGGCTGCAATTCAACTTGGCTTGACAGTTAGAGCCCATCCCAATCCAAGCAATTCACCTCTATCGTCCAAATATCCCCAATAGCGTCTCTGCTGCCTAACCTTTCGTAAACCTGATCATGCTTGATTCCAAAGAAACCTTGTCACTTGAGATCTAGACCTCGCTGCGCAACGATGGGATCATGCCTGTGCGAGCAATTGAGCACAATTTCATTCGGTCAGGAGATTGCCTTTTCGTGTAAGGTAGAAATCGCCACCAGGCTGCGGACCCTCCCGACTGAACAGTAGTAGCGTTCCACGATGTCGGGTGAGGCGCATGCATGCACGAGCTTTTTCGAGAAGCTGAGTTCCAGCCTACTTGAAATTGATATATACTGATTGGGCGAACCAGCTTCGAAAGTGACAGTGGAATCTTGGGCTATTATTGGTCATGTAAATTGGTGTGGCAGACACCGCCCGCCTCACTTGTTGATTGGACGTCATGTGCTCATGTTCGTCGCCACGAGCACATTTGTGCCGCCCTCGGATCAGCCGATGGATGACTGCATGGGATGACAGGCACTGCCAGCCTCGACTGCTGACGAGGCTGCTTGAATAATATTCACTAGTATTGAATGCCTCCTAGATTCTCTTGACTATACACGTTCTCTGCTTCGTGAAGCAATATTGGTAGCCCTCTGTAATTTTTGACTCCCGATTTCGAACCGTCGACAAGAAAATAGCCACATCGCGAACAGGAAAGAGATGAGATTGGTGAATACACAGACGTTGGAGGTCGTATCGGTGGATGACCAACCTTTGCCTGAGTACGCAATCTATGCTCATGCCAGGGAGGACCAGCTCTATTCTTCTCTTGAAGTACTAGGATCGAAGCAAAGTCTCCAGTCGCTGGATAGTCGTCGACTTGTACGACTTCAACAACCATCTCACTTAGCTCGAGCTCGGGGAATCAGATACATCTGGACAGAGTCGGATTGTGTGGAAAGATCATCTTCTGCTGAAAAGAACAGAGAATCCATAGAAAGATCTTACAGGCTTGCTAGCGTGTGCTTCGTACATCTTTTCGACTTGTCCTGCTTCAAGTCAGAGACCGGTATTGGAGCATTTGGGGTGGATGGAGTCATCTCTCGGCCATGGTTGCAAGCTGTCCTTCAGAACTGCCGGTTTATTCAGTTCTTCGACTCGGAGTGGCACTTCAGGAGTGAAAGATTCCTTTCAAAGACACTTAGCTTGCCGAGGTTGGAGTCTTCTTTCAAAACCTTCTTCACTGCCGCTGGAAAAGACAAAAGTCGATTGATTCTCGAAGTCAGGCCTGCTGTGAGTATACCCCTCACCCTTCGAAGAAATCTCGTTCTCACCAGCTGGTGGAAGCTGAAGATGTTCAATGACTTGCCTCGCTCTGATTCTGTCAATGGGGTACAACAGAGCTGGCCTAAGCAGCTGGTTCATCTTCCTCGTCACGACAAAACATACGTTCCGAGATTAGCCACCATTGCAGCTGGCCAAGCCGGATGTTCGCAACATGCAGACAAGAAGCCATTTTCTTCAGTCATGAAAGAAGAAGGTATTCACAGCGAAAATCCCGCTGAATCGGTGTTGAAGTCATCTACAGCTACTTCCCAGCATTTGGAGGCTTTCGATCTCTTTATTTGGCAGACAGCATCATGTTGCTTGGTGAGTCAATTTTAGCCTCAGAAACAATACTTTGCTTCAGATGTATCTGAACAAGCCGAGATAACTGATCATTT